CACTTCTAGTGGATTGATGATATGACGGATAACTCTAACAAGCACACGGATTGCTGATATGTCGATGTCAACTAACTCATTTCCTCTCTATCTACTATGCACACTTCTAGCTCATGTGACAATTATGAATAGTGTATTGTAAGGTAACTTTAACTTCATCTTAAGTAACTTTTATTTTAGTTTTAAGTAATTAAAGATTATTACATACACTCATTGCATGTTCTTGGATATGTATCGAGTTGTCGTTGTCGTTTTAATATGTGGGTGGTTTCAGCTTCAGCATCTTGGCTAGATCTTTAGCTAATTCTTCACTTCTCTCTTTCAGAGCAAATAATCATCCGTCACATTGATTATGTTGTACTTTTCTTCCTCATATTTGGTGACCGTGCTCTCGTTACAACAAACATTTGAAATTGTGACTAGTATACTTTGAAGTAAAAGAGTTTTCTTTTTCACTCATTCAATCAACTCTTGGCTAGCAAATGGATAAAATATTTAAGAAATAAAATACTCTATTTAGATGAAATATTTGAACAAGCAAAATATTCAGACAATTAATAATCAACAATCAATGACGGTCAATTATACGTTGAACAATGGTCAAGAATAATCAACAACGGTTCGGCTTTTGAATAGGTTCACCTTCCAAACTTGTTCATCTTCTATGACGGTTTGTCTTTTGCTGTCATCTTCTTTAATCTCTAGTTTTTGCTTTGTTTCTTGCTTGTTTTATTTGTACTTATTTACCTATACATCAAAAGCTCTAATAACAAATCTGGCAAGATCCATAAAGTGTCTCACAAGTTTTGTCCAATTAAGTTTGCATGTGTCAAAAAGCTATTCTTCATAGACGTTCCGTGATTCGCCGCTCTGTTGCAAATTTCCTCTAAATATCACAATTTTTTCCTCTTGCAGAAGGTTTAAGATTCTCTTGCAGAGGTTTCATATCCCATTAAGTACAAAATCGTTGACATTGAGCTGCGCAAACTCGATCAACCAATGAGTGCGGGAAGTATAAACTTGTCTTCAACAGGTTTGATCAAGATATTTATTCATGAAGTTTATAAAATCACATACGAGCAAATCGACTTCTCAAAGCGCCGGACCCACTCAAATATCTTCAAAGATCCTCTGCTTTCCTTCCAAAGAGACCTAGCGCGTCGACCAGTGTGAATGCAAGGGATGAGTGGCAAGAATACTTAAACAACATGGCAAGAACATCACACAATGAAAATTACTAAAACCGAAGCTCTGAACTACTTGTTCAAATTAAACAGATGCACACCTTGATTTTCAGGTGAATAATTGAAACATTTACAGATAAAAATTGTCCAATGCTATTTACAATGTCAACGGCCGAGAACAGATAGTCCTGCAAATACTAACTAGAGAAAAAGTCATCGATAATGAGTGTAACCATCTTTAGTTAGTTAGAACTAAAGTAAAGATTACTCAAGATTGAGTCAAGTAGATGATAGTGGAATATCTAGAGTGCCATGTCAACAATCCGTGTGCTAGCTTGTGTGTTAGTTGGGAACGCCACGTCATCAATCCGTGTGCTTGTTAGATAAAGATTGAGTATGCTAGTTGGTGTGTTAGTTGGTAACGACACGTCAGCAATCCGTGTGCTCATTAGGTATATCTGCCATGTCACCAATACACTAGAATTGAATTGGATTGTGGAGATGGTATCTTATCTCTTTGTATTTGTTGATAAAAGCTATATAAGGAAGAGTAGAACCATTGTTGGAATCTCTCATCTTCAAAATTTATGTTTTCATATTGGAATGAACTTGTTTCTAAACTTTAGTGTTACAATAAATCAAAAAAAAATAATATTTGCATAAATTTTGAAATACACTATTGTGTTTAGCTTTATTTATAAAACTATAAATAAAATTATTATTTGGATTTAAAGAAAAATAGATAAAAAAATTTAATTCATTATGCAAAAATTTATGCATAGTAAAGTTTAAATCAAATAAATAATATTGAGCTTATGTAACATGATAAAAAAGCTAGAACAACAAAGTAAATATGTTGTTCATCACTACAAAATTTTGTCTAAAAAAACAAAAAATATTTATTAAAAAAATCATAAATTTTATTATTCATGAATTAATTTTTAACAATAAATGCTTCATGTATACAAAGTAATATTTGTGAATTGATGGAAAAAAATCATCATGAAATGATACAATAGCGTGCAATACTGCAATAAGCTTTATGATAAATCACTTTTTGTTGCATAATTTAATCTATTATGTGTCAATGCTTTCATCATTTGATTCGAGTCACAAGGATTTGTTCTACAATGATTTGATATAAATTTCATGAAATGAGTCACTTCATATATCAAGCTATCAAAACTAAAGTTTGATATTGAAAACAATGACATATTATTTTATTCTTTATGTGATAAATAAGCTTTTTTTAATTGTGTAAGAATTAGGTGATTTTTTTTATGAAAAAAAATTAGTTTATTTCAATATAAATTTTTTGTATGAAATACCATATTCTAAATGTTATGTTTTGCAAATGTTGGTGTGATTTTGATGTTTTGATTAAAAAAAATAAAATATCAATTGTAGTAGATAATTGAATTGAAAATGCAAATATTTATGTTGAGTATTGAAAATTATTTTTTGATATTGACATGTAACGATTGATATCATGTGCATCTCGTGTGCATGAAAATTTGAAATATTTTTTTTTACTTCAGTTTTCATTTGATTATATTTTATAAATATGTTAAAAATGATATGAAATGATAACTATGTAATATCCATTTAATTTTTTCTAAGAGATCAAATAAGAAATAGATAAAAAATTTTAATCCCAAGTGTACACATCAACTATTGTAGTTAAGACACTATAGTATTGTTTATAATTGTTTATTGTTTCAAAAAATCTACTAAAGAATCTGAGATTATATATGAAAATAAAAATTGGAATTTGATTGTCTTATCACATGCAAGAATCTCACGAAAACTATATGTGCAGATTATTAAATAGTTTAAATTCCACTTATGTTTCATGAAATCTTGAAAGAAATTTCTTTAGTGTTAAAGTCACCATACATTATCATCTATATGTATTTAGAAATCTCCATAAGAGATATGTATCTTATGCTCAATTGAGTAGATTGGTTGAATCAATTAGTCATGTTTTTTATGTAATATGTTTATGTATCATGAAAGAACTACAAAAATAAATATAGACCTATAAACCTATCCTATAGATCTATAACCTCATATAAAGCGAATGAACAGTGAATTCATTTGATTTAATAACCATAGATTCTTTTCAATATTTGCTTCTTATGTTTATATAAAAATGAAATAATTTATTACAGGAAATATATTTTGATATTAGAAAAGATTTAATCCAATTTCTAGAAAAATTTCTATCCATTAAAGATTTAATCCAATTTCTAAAAATAAGTAATTTTAGCTAATATACTATTTACATGAGCTTATATAGATATATTGATATAATTTTAACATTTAGTCGATTGAAACTTTCCTTTGATTAAAAATCCTTTTGACATATATTAAAATTATTGCACTGCTGGTTATTTTACAGTAAAATATCTCCTTATGAAAAAAGAAATTTATTTTATTTCGTTTTCTTTTGAATAATACATTAAAAAAACTTCTGCTCTAAAGATTGGTTTGACTTTCGTAAATCTTAGTTCAGATTTACGTATTTCAACTGCAAAGTTTAAAGTACGAATGGACTTAAATAGATGTATCAGCTAAAACACAAACGATAGACTGAAGTTTATCTTATGTTCAAAACTTGAAATGTAAGGGTTCTTGTGTGTTTGTGGCGTTGCTGCTTAAACCTACACTGCTTCTAAAACGTGTTTCGATAGGTTTTGTATTCAATATCTCAATTATGATTTGCAGACACATTACTTATACAATTGTACTATTGTCAGAAAATACATGCAAATCCTCAAAAGGTAAACAAAAGCAAAAATCGTGACTTGAGTGAGAAATGGTGTAAAGTCACCATTCCACTTAGACTATCTTAATCCTGAGATGTATTTATCTGAAATTTTTTTTATCATATATCTGGAATAAAAGGTTTTGAGGTAAAAAGTTAAAGGATTATCTTGTATATGACATGATTATAAAAAAAATGTAAAGCATACTCAAAAAAATTTTGAGTAATGAACGAGCTAATAACGATGCTAAAATTATTGCACAACACAATTTAGAAAATAAAAGATGTCGATTTACTTGAAAAGCATATTAAATCTATGAAAGTAATAACATCAGTTTCCTGTTACTATATAAGATGAAAAATTTTTCAAAAAAATGTTACTTCTTTATATTTTTTTTGAAACCATATATTCATATAGCTAAGACCATTATTAAGTATTACATAACTTTGAGATCTGAAGTTTTAGTAACTCTTGAAGGACCGCTATATAAAAGCTTTAGTGGCTTTTTTTAAAAGTCACAAATGTGATTAAACTTTCACTGTAGCCTACGCATAAAAGTAAGGGAACCCTACACAATAATGTGCATTGTTTGTTTATGAAAAAGGAACATCCTTAAATTTTTTTATCACTGATTGGCTATATGAAATTTGTATTACGCATCATAATGATAGATGTATAGTGAGATTTTGAAACTTTGTTTTATTCTTGCGAGCAATGGAGGGTGGTATTGGATATGGCTTTGACGATGTTAGAAATTGTTTTTCAAGGAAATTACATATCCACCAATACTGCATTGTAAAGAAAATATAAAAATAACATCAATCTGGCTGCCTAGGTTAAACGCTAGTTCTAATTTGTTGAAATTGTTTCGAAAGTATTCTCAATCAACATTTTGTTATCAGTTGAAATGCGGAGGATTTACTCTGTTTCGAGGAACTGGGATGGACCTATCCCGAGGGTGCTCGCATAGGAATATTCCCCGCAATACATGTCCCGAAGCATCCCGCCGAGTGGTAGATTCCTGAACCATTTGCAGGCACACAGGTTGGATTTCGCCTGCGCTTTTGGTTCGGGTCTGGTCTTCTCGTGGGAGCCATTCATTTCGTCGCTTCTCTCGTTTCTTCTCGTCCCAGCGAGCCTCAGGGAGCCCGGACGATGAAATTGGGACCTGGCTGGTGATTGTGCGTGCTCTACTGGGTGGCGCTGGGCTGCCGACGGTGGATCGAACATAATGCAGCCCGCGGTGGGTAGGCAGGGTGCTCAATTAGGCAAATTTGGGGCGAGGTTTCTTCAGTTGGCGGGGCGAGCTTTCTCGTCGCAATCTTCTGGGGCGCGTTCTCAATTGGCAGCGCTGCAGGAGCGTCTCGCGAAGGACGAGCCGACGCTGAAAGAGTTTTTGAGTGCGTATGATGTGTCGGATTATTCTGTGGAGGTCGGGTCGAAGAAGAATTTCAAGCCGAAGCCGGAATGGATGAAGAGAGTCATTCCTGGAGGAGACAAGTATACCACTATCAAGGCAAAATTGCGGGAGCTGAATTTGAACACAGTTTGCGAGGAGGCAAGATGCCCGAATATTGGTGAATGCTGGAGTGGTGGCGAGACTGGTACTGCCACTGCCACCATTATGATTTTGGGCGACACTTGTACGAGGGGTTGCAGGTGCGCCATTCGTGACCAGGGTCTTCCTCTCTAAAATCTTGTCAGCTCATGCCTCGTGTGTAGTTAATGCACAATTCATAAATCTGAAAAAGTTTCTGTTCTGCTTCTAGAGCAACCATTGTTTGAAAGTTTGACGTTGTATCATATTGAATTTTCGGAATGTTTTTCGGACTTTGAATGCCAATTTGTCATTGGTTTATGTAGGTTTTGTGCTGTGAAGACATCAAAAGCACCACCCCCACCAGATCCTGAAGAACCAAGGAAAGTGGCGGAGGCAATTGTTGCTTGGGGTTTAGACTACATTGTTCTTACGAGTGTAGACAGAGATGACCTTCCAGATCAAGGAAGTAACCATTTTGCTGAGACTGTGAGTTTATTGAAAGCTCGCAAGCCGAGCATGCTCGTGGAGGCCCTTGGTAAGAAAGTTCAAATGAGCGGTTTCTCTTTGTTTTCATTTTTAATGTGCTGTTAGCATCGTCAGCCAGGTGTCTGTGTTCTTGAGGATGTGACAGGCACACTTTACCGAGTACGTTTTTTATGGCCAGTTTTGGCCAGCCTCTGTAACAGAGCTGATGGCCAAAACTGAAGTCCCATATCTAACTTGCCGTTCAGTTCGTCTCTGTCCCATCAAATTGTGTTCCTTGTGAATTTGATTATTCTTAATGTTTTATAATCGGGGAACTTTTGTATGTTAAGTTAATTCTAAATTGAGCTTTGGCGAAAATAAGTAAATTTAAGTTACTAATTGAGATACCGCCTTCACATCAACCTGGAATATGGTCCAAGATAGGCTCTTCGTACTTTGAGCTGGAAGAAGGGTTTCAAGTTCACTCGCATTTTATATTGCGGGTATACTTGGAACCCTTCTTACGGTTTATTTCTGGTTCACTCTTTGTTGCATTCTCTCACATTGTTCTTTATTGCGTGCAGAATGCAAAAAATCTGCTCATATGTTAAGGAATTGTTATCTTAAATTAGTTGAAAAGTATTACGCGGTTTCATTTAGTTTTAAATTTTTGAATTTTACCTGCAGTTCCGGATTTTCGAGGAGATTCCGGCTGCGTGGAGAGGGTGGCCACCTCTGGGTTGGATGTTTTTGCTCACAATATCGAAACTGTTGAAGAGCTTCAAAGCGTCGTTCGTGACCGACGAGCCAACTTCAGACAATCACTCGACGTCTTGAAATTGGCAAAGGAGTTTGCTCCAGCAGGAACTTTGACAAAAACTTCCATTATGCTTGGATGCGGAGAGACACCGTCTCAGGTTATAAAAACAATGGAAAACGTTCGATCAGCTGGTGTGGATGTAATGACTTTTGGCCAGTACATGCGTCCCACCAAAAAGCACATGGCCGTGTCCGAGTACGTAACGCCTGAAGCATTCGATAAGTACAGGGAACTTGGTGAAGAAATGGTATGTTAACCTTCGCCCGTCTCCTCCCTGGGTCTTACTGCACCTTAGACGGAGAGATAAAGTTGCGGTGCCTTTCGTGATGCGGAAAACTGTGTTTTGTATGATATTCCTTCCATCAACATTTGCATAGCATTCAGAGACAAAAGGATTGCAGCTTTCTCTTTTCCCCTTGAAATGCTCTTCACTTTTTTATCTTTCATTTTAGGGCCTGTTCTTATCGTTCATGGTTCGATGGCTTCTCACTGGCTGTTTATATATCCGCTGTTAATGCCACTATCCGTGGTTTTCCTTCTTTCTGGTAGTGTAGTATACATTCTTGAGTCATCTATTCTCTGCCCCAACGTTTCTTAAAGGAACCTCCACCTGTGACATAGTATGTCATTCACGGTCTGAATCTATCTGGCTGAGGTTAAACATCTGTAGAAAATCCTAAGATTGGATATTGTGGATGAACGCGTTTGACATAAAACAGCTTTGATATTTGGCATTACAGTCGGTTGTTACGGTTGTGTAAGCCTGTTACATACTCAGATCCTAAAACTAAGAAAATCAGATTGAATGTGCGCAGGTAAATCTTGCAAACAGTAATTAAAGATCATAGACTGGATGTTCTTTTCCTTTATTTCTTTCTTCTACGTTCGGTTATGGGTCCATCCACATTTCTCGCTGTGAATCCATTGTACGGACGTATAGCTGATGATTGACATGTGTGGATAATGCACCATTGTTGTCCTTACATGTAGAAACTTATGATCACACAAGACAGAGTGCCCGCAGCTGATAACATGATTACTGTTACTAATGCTAAGGGTAGTTTCACGCGTCAACGCTGTGTATTTTCTTTGTTTTTTCGTAAATATTTTAGATGAGGTGGTCCTGCATTGCAAGTCTTAGTAACGCAATTTACATGATTTTCAAGCTTTTAGGTTGTCTCTTGAGTCTACATCATTATAGGAACGAAGCTTATGTTTTTGCTTTTTAATTGTCTGCACTTGGCTCTTCACTGTTCCTCATACTTAAGATCCAGGTTACTAGCTTCCATGCCAGCCATAGGTTTATCTTTCTTCTTTTTCTATGAAAGAAACCTTCAGGATTTGATAAACAGATATCAAGTTGAATGAGAAAATGAGAAAATGATATCTTCGTGATCAATCTACTTTCATTTCCTGTACTTTTGCATAGATGAACTCATGAAAGGTTAGTTCTTTACCTTCTGACTTTACCTTACGTCAATCACAAACTGTTTTCCAGGGCTTCCGTTACGTGGCATCAGGCCCCATGGTCAGATCATCATACAAAGCAGGAGAGTATTTTATAAAAAATATGATCGAGGCAGACAGGGAGAGGCAGAATACAAGCATTGAGGCTTCCTCCTGAAGGGTATTGTGGTCAACATAAATAAGAAGGTGGTTATGTAACAGCGAAGGAAGAGTTTGTATCATAAGGTTCCAATTTGCTTATAACCAATGTATTGTGTAACAGAGAAAAATTAAATTTTGGCTATTTCAGCTCCATCCTAGAAGTTATCTGACCTTGGAGTCATTTTTACTGTCATCTGTCAGTGAATTGTTTAAAAGTGTGATTCTTGGTTGCATCACTTGGAATATAATTCTTCCGGGGATTCAATGGGTCCTCAAAGATCAAATTGACTGTGTTCCTAGATTTGCCTTGATCAAGATGTGCCTTTCATGGTTTATGTCAAGTGACCTCTATAATTTCATCGTAACATCGATAATTACTGGATGGTCGCATTCTGCAGAGTACACAACTTTCGCTCGAGGTTGATAACTTCGTGCTGAAACTTAAAATCGTCATAAGAGTCTAATATCGTATTATTCACGACTCTTATTAGGACTACAATATATGTTGGGGCAACTTGTGTCATGCAATGGCTAAAGTAAAGAATCGAGAATTGATCGATTCCACTTTTACATAGAGTAGGGATCAGTTATGGGTAAGTTTTATGTGAAAGTGAAGATGATTTTGCAAGCAAGTATCCATCTTCAACCTAAAGTTCGGTAATTGACGTAGTATTAAATGATCTGTGTATATTGGTTGTTGAGGTTGCTCACAAGAAATAACGAGATTTCTTTGTATCTACTTAATTTCCGTTTCTCAGACGGTACTGAAAATCTAACGATTTCTTGGACATGTTACAGATATCACCATAGTTGATATGATGTCATAGTGTTTGGAGTACTACCGAAGACTTTTTGGTAAATAGAGTGGTAGTGTAACTTTGTAAATGGAGATGCTTGCATAGTTTCAAAACCACGTCGTACTGAAAACTGAATTATTGTTATAGAATATTACACACTACATCGAGCTAGTTTGGGTCAATTCAAGATGTCGAGTGAGGAAGAACTACGTACGCTTGTCCTGGATTGGTAGGAGCTGTCTAGAACTCGGGATTTGATCGTTCGATATTTTGCAACTCGGAGTGGATAGTGTTAGGTTATGGCTATCGCTTCTCCGGTCCATACCGTCGTATGTGTTTGAAAATGAATATCAGTCAAACCTACATACTGTCTGGAGAGATGGAAATTTTGCGGGTGTTCAGGAATAGTCTGAATATATTTCCCTGGTTAACACAGTAAATAATTATTGTGTGACTTTTAATCGAGAAGGTTTCCAACTAAGGATGAATCATGAAAATAATAAACCTTCCACTGCTGTGACGAGGATATAAAGATTTAAATCTTGGAAGTCTTGATTCAGTAAATAGTGGTATACATCCTCAACTTGTAAGTAAATATTGGTATACATCCTCAACTCTTGTATGTTTACAGATTATTGAGAGATTCGGATTATGGGTTTCATTAAGCTATTATTACATACTAGATAGTATTTGGTTGTCAAATTTAAATATTATTAATACATTTATCTTATCATGCTATACTTCTGAAACGAGTTTTCATAGACTACGAGGATAAAATTTTCTTTTACAAGTCTTGGTAATATTCAGATCCTTTTGATTATTTTTACAAATTATCAGATACTCTATTAGTATTTTGTTATGCAATGAAATTACAAATAAATTTTTTGTAAAAATATAAGTAAGAAAATATCACTGAAGAGCAAAAAGAATCTTGACACCAAAAGTGGTGGTAATGTCGATGAAGAAATTGAGATAATAAAAAGCAATGGTTCTTTTATCAATATTTTCTTACTCTTCCTTCAGTAAACCAGTCAAGCAATCAATACGGTTCATACGTTCATATTAGAGTGCAATGTACGGAACTCAATGTATGTACTAGCAATTATTATAATATGAATAGTTTCGAGAGCAGATAAACATTATGTCAAGTATAAAAAGTTAAATGCTATGTACAATAATCTCTATACTTAGTTTTATAGGGGATGTATTATGGTATACACAGTATATAGGGGCTGCGTATTTAGTCAAATTATTTCCTATAAACTAACATTTCATAATGAAGAATATATATATACATATTCTCATGTTAATTTCGTCAAACGAAAAATTTATGGAGATTCTAAAAGATTTATGAAGTAGAACTTCCATGATTTTACCAACAATAATTAGTAAAACTTTGATTCATATAAAATTTTTAGATTTTTTTTTCAATTAAAAATTATATTGGAGTTGATTCAGCAGATTTTCAAATGTATTATGAAACAAATTTAATAAGGCGAGTCATTTCTTATAATTTTGATTTGATTTCAATATCAAAGAAACCAAAACTAAAGTACTATATGAATCTTAGCAACACTAATGTTTCCAATAAAAGTGCTCTAGCTAGCAAGTTCCATGTTAGTGAAGCAATAGTAAAAAAAATGTAACACAAACGGTATATTTGATGAACCCAAAGAGAAGATTTTAAGAATTGTTGTTTTGTCATTGAGTTTGAAGAAATGCTTTTGATTTTGGGCCAATTTTCTTATTAAGTCATCTCCAAGACAAAAAGTATTGCATTAAGCTTATCAATTTTGTCAAAATCAATGATGAATGTTGCGAAAGGTGATGCTTCTTGGAGAGTGAGTTGAAATCAACAAATCTTATCGTGGATTATTGAAAGTTTTAGACGAAATATTCGTCTTTATTGCCCAATCTGAAAATTTATACAATATGGTCTAGCTATTTTTTTAACTACTACCAAAATACAGACTTAATTCCAGATGATAAAACATCACACAAAAATTGATATCCAAATGATATATGAGAACACATCAACCAAAATTGGTTTTCTCACACAAGAAAGCTTCAAAACTTGCGCAAAATAACAATCTATGATATTTTGAACTAAATAAACCTTGATATGGTGTGCTTATCTAACCGGAAAGTAACTTTTCATTATACGTCGAACGTAAATGAATTTACGCTAATTCCAAATGGTCATATAAGAATGGGAGTGGCTAGTTATACCTCAATTATTGCAAATAATCCTTCACTCTATTCATAGCCAATGCTAGGGTAGGGTGTGTTGCGTTGGGGAGTACAACCGGTTTGGTCTAATGAGAACACACGAGATTGAATCCCTTGATAGCTCTATCTTTCTTGTTATTAAGTATGCATCTACGTTTAATCACGACGGCGTAAACCTGATTCAACGCGTAAGCTTGCTCTGCAGATAACACAGAGTTCAATGTTACGTGATAGATCTCTGGCGGTGGAGCAAGCGAGTTCATTTTGAAATGAGATACCTTTGACAAATCACAGAGTTCACTTCTTAAACAATTTATCTAATTTTGTAGGGTGAATGATAATTAGCATAAACAGAGTTATAACTACTAGCTACTATGATAATTAACATGATTTACAATTTATATCAAGAGTTCAGGTTTTATACTTTTGAATTGATAGTCAATAAACAAGACTTTGTTTGATAATATTTGCATAGAGTAAATCTCCATTGCTTGCTTCGCAACTCATTAAAGAAAACTATCAGACATGACATAACATCATGAAAAACTATCACAAATCAACCGTTTGCTTAAGGGAGAGATCTTTATATACATACTTGTACTGGTGTATACCAAGAAAACATCACAATACAAGTTATGTTGAATATGCCAACAAAGCTAAATGTACATGTAGTACACAAAAAAATAATTGAACTAAGTTGCATGTAGAGCATAAAATGTTTGATCAAAAAGCAATACGTCGAGAAGTGTATCTTTGAAGGAAAAATCTACATATACTCTAATGGAAGAGAATGAGTTCAAGTTATCTTATCATTTTGTCCTAGAAATACATCAAGCTTCTACGGTATCTATCAAAATATGCAAAACGAGCGTGCATCAGAACATCATCGGGAAGTAAAAGCAATTTATAATGTTTTGCCCTTATGATTGCGATAAAGTGGCAGTGACTGGTAGAACATTATATTAAAATTTTTCATTCAAACTTTTTCAAAATATTTACAAAGTTTATTTCCTTTGACGTTGATGTCAAAGTCAATGCTCATTTTCGAAGCTCCACTTCAGCACACAAACCTGTGAAATGACTGTACACATTGTTTTGTACTCAATAACATGCTTTCAACGTTTGCTCTTGAAATTCTGTCCCCGTCTTTTTATGTGAACAACAGTAATTTAGATTACTAGTCTATGTCATTCATATATAAATATCTCCTAACTAAACTATTTTTGAGTATTGAACCCGATTTTTCATGGATCCACTAATTTCAATTTCAGTTTGACTTGAAGTCGAATCAGAAAGAATCATAGAATAATCTTGAGCATATATTTAATTGTTGTTTTCCTCGGCCAGCAGAACTCAAAAGCGATCAGAAGTCTGTGAAAGAAACACTAGTTGAAAGAGACTACAAAGTTGCAAATCTGAAAAATCTCACTGAAGTGGATCCACTAATTTCAATTTCAGTTTGACTTGAAGTCGAATCAGAAAGAATCATAGAATAATCTTGAGCATATATTTAATTGTTGTTTTCCTCGGCCAGCAGAACTCAAAAGCGATCAGAAGTCTGTGAAAGAAACACTAGTTGAAAGAGACTACAAAGTTGCAAATATGAAAAATCTCACTGAAGTGGATCCACTAATTTCAATTTCATTTTGACTTGAAGTCGAATCAGAAAGAATCATAGAAAAATCTTGAGCATATATTTTTATTGTTGTTTTCCTCGGCCAGCAGAACTCAAAAGCGATCAGAGGTCTGTGAAAGAAACACTAGTTGAAAGAGACTACAAAGTTGCAAATCTGAAAAATCTCACTGAAGTGGATCCACTAATTTCAATTTCAGTTTGACTTGAAGTCGAATCAGAAAGAATCATAGAAAAATCTTGAGCATATATTTTTATTGTTGTTTTCCTCGGCCAGCAGAACTCAAAAGCGATCAGAAGTCTGTGAAAGAAACACTAGCTGAAAGAGACTACAAAGTTGCAATTTTAAAAAATTGACTGAAGTGATTCCAGAGAGCTTCAGAGGAACTATAAATGCATGTTGACTTGCATTTGCTTGGTTTACTTTCAGATGTCTGGACCGAGCTACTCTTGGGATTTTTCAGATTGAAGAACTTGAACAGAATGCTTCAAGCAGGCCCATGTAGATCATAGGTCTCCCACTACCTACACCTTCATTACAATTTTATCCAACTGTAAGGGTAAGGGAGAGACCTTAAAACATTTCTTCCAGTTTATAGCTGTCTAGATCTGGTTCATAGGAATGGGAAAAACTGCAGAGTCTATCCACTTTGAAGGAGAGGAGGATCATGAAGCTCCAAGAGGAACTGGCGGCTGGACAGCTGCCAGCTGCATTATAGGTAATGTTTACTCAAATTGGAGTCAGACTGCAACTCCAGAATCTCACTTGGCTTTGTCATCCTGTTGATTACTTCAACTCCAAACTCAGCTATTTCCAGTCAGTTTGATGATTTACTGTTGATTCTGCAGAACATCACTTTTTCGCTCTCTTAGCCTACAGCGGAGTAAGCCGAACTCTGGTAAGGTACCTCACCAGAGTCATGAAGCAGACAAATTCATCTGCCTCAAGTATCGTGCTCAACTTTTCTGGAACTTCGTACATAACCCCGTTGGTAGGGGCGATGCTTGGAGATTCTTTCTTCGGTCACTTTCGAAGTTCACTACTGTTTGCAGTAATCTACGTGGTGGTAAGTTCCTTGACATCTTCCCTTTCTGCATTTGCATGTGTATTTTTTCCTCAACAACCATAACATCGTCAATAACTGGAAGTTCAAAATGATTGCAGGGGCAGTTTTTGGTCACTCTTTCTGCCAATGTCCCTGCTCTACAACCAACACAATGCAAAATTGGGGAAGAGATTTGTCCAGCTACCAAGAGGTGGCAATTGTCTTTCTTGTACACCTCTCTTTTCATCATCGCCCTTGGGAGGGCGGGCTATCCAGCTTACCAAGTCTTGGGAGCAGCCCAGTTTCATGATCACAGGCAGAATGCAGAGAGAAGCGCTTTCTTCACTTACATGTTCCAGGCTCTCACATTTGGATACATGGTGTCGGCTACAGCTGTAGTTTATGTTCAAGAGAGTTATGGTTGGGGTGTCGGTTACATCCTCACAGCTCTTGCAAGCTTCATGTCTTTACTCGGTTTGCTAAGTGGTTTACCATTCTACAGAGAAGGTCATTCTGAAGGCAACGCATGTGCCAAGATTTTCCAGGTTTTGTCGGCTTCGCTTCTTAAGTGCAGGTTGTCATTGCCACCAAGAGAAGAACTTTTCGACGATCAATCTCAAGATCCAGATGAGGCAAATCTAGATTTCTTCTATTCTTCAGATTTCAGGTACGAGACAAAACTGACAGGCATTACTTTCTACTTGCTTTCATTTTAATAGATTTTAGCACCACATCAATAATTAAAACCAACAACATGTTACGTACGTGGTCATGGTAGATTTCTGGACAAGGCTGCGATAGAGACACATGACGAACAGTTTTTAAGAGAGGGCCGAAATCCATGGCGTTTATGTACTCTGTCTCAAGTGGAGGAAGTCAAACAGATATTGCGATTGGTGCCGGTATGCATCTCATGCATAATATTCACTTCCATCTATGGTCAACTTCCTACCCTTTTCGTACTCCAGGGAGAAGTAATGAACCGAAAAGTCGGTAACTTCAATGTCGAGATTCCTCCTGCCACTATGACTATCTTTGAGAATTTGACTGTGCTTCTCGGCGGATACCTGTACAACAAGGTTTTCATTCCTACGATGATGAAGGTCACAGGGCACCCCAAAGGGATATCTCCATTGCAGAGGATTGGAACAGGATTGTGCATGGGTGTTTTGGCAATGACTGTGGCGGCCCTCGTGGAGACTCAGCGTTTGGCCAGAATATCTCCTTCTGATACTCAAGGATCTGAAATGAGCATGTTCTACTTGATACCTCAATTTGTGTTGGTCGGAATCGGAGAAATATTCACTTATGTCGGTCTGACCGAATTCTTCTATGATCAGTCTCCTCCAAGGATGAGAAGTGTGAGTAGCTCCATTTCTATGCTTACTCAAGCCATGGGGAATTACCTGAGCTCTCTACTGGTGTCCATAGTGTATCACTCGACAACTAAAGACGGTAGTCCTGGTTGGATACCAAACGATCTCAATGAAGGTCGAGTAGACAAATTCTATCTTCTTCTAGCAGCATTGTGTGGTTTGAGTTTCATCTGTTTCCTGATTATAGCATCCACTTTCAAACACCGCAGGGATGAAAATCTTCCTACTCGGAGATGTTCTCCGATGAGGAAGACCATGACTTCTCGAAGTTCTTTGAAAGAACCCCTGTTGAGCTAGTATGACCTTCAGAGTGTCAATTGTTATGTCTGGTTCATTTCAAAAGACCCAAAAAGCAACAACTTTATAATAGTTACTGTCTTCACTTTCAGTGAATCTTACTGAAGATATATCTAAGTTCAAATATGATCGTATGCTTAGAATATGAATATGATACGTCCCCTTTGTTCAGATGATCAATTGTCTCATGATTGCAATCCGAAGTATATTCTATGAAGTGCAAAGTTTTAATCTCAAGATAATTGCTCCTTTGTCTCAAGTCTTCGAACCTGGAGTTCTCCAAGATCACACTACAGTAGATAGAAGGCTGTTCTTTGTAAATCCTGGTGAACCTAACGTGCATACTGTCAAGTGAACTTTTCACAAGTCAAGATGTGATGTCAAACAATTATTTTGTCATTCCAAAAGGCATTAAGAAAGTACACAATTGGCAATGAATGTTGTATAGCCTATCATTCTTTGTCCACATTATGGTTCATAATCTCTATGCGCATTGAATGCTACCTGATGTGAAAAGGTCAGCCTAGCTGTGTAACCCTTTATGTCTAGCTTAATGCAGATGTTAATGATGTAACATGACCCGCAGTAGTAGTGAATTTCAGATATTCAATATGACATCTCACAATCAAACTCCAATCAAGCAGCTCTAAAGCTTGATGATTGGTTCAAGCTTGGTTAAGGAGCTAAGAGCCCATAGATGATATGCAGAGACACGACAAAATGACTCAGTCAGACCCTCAGGTGAGGGAAACAGTGCGTAAAAACTGAATCTGATTTTGACTTCATGTATTGAATATTGCCATCTCCATTTTTCATGGACCAAGAGCGTGGAATGGTTACTCAACCAGATCCCCCGATGTGAGGAGGTGCCCCTTATGGAGGCGTAAGTCAAGCACTACCTCATACTGGAGGGATGTTAGATAAGTTGTAGGTCCCGCTTCATTTGCTGAGACACACGTTCCTACTCCACTCTCACGCTATGACAGACTCCCACGGGGACTTGTTCTTGCTTATGTCGCTTCTTCCTTATAGCTTTGAAAACTTCCCACGTTTGACTGGACCAGATGAGCGCCCGCTATGACTTCCAACGCTAGCTTCAGATAAAGGGCGGCAAGCTGCAGACTCCGAGGTCTTAATCTTGGACTGATTGGCTTGCCACTCTCTACCACTACCTAGCCAGAGGACTCCGCGCCACAGCGGTGTAGATGAGCCTGATAACATTGCTTTCAACGCTTGAGCTCATGGCATAGGTGCACCAAGCTTGGTAGTTGATTCAGCTGAAGGTGCTTGCAATCGGAAACAACCGATGTATGATAATCCAAATGTGATTGCGAGTATTCGTATAATCTCAAGTTTAAAACCGCCAGTTTGTTACAGTAATCTTCTTTTGCTAGAGGTATAATGAAGATGTACTTAACACGGCGTGGTGTGTTAGTGTAGAGTCTTCTGAATAGAGGGGACTGTGATCAGGACAAAGTTCATTTTATGTAAGTAAGTGAATAAATACATAAATTAATTAAATAAATGTTGGTCGCCAGAACATAGTCCTCTGAGATGGAAATTTCAACTGCCGTCCCGTGACAGAAGGATGATTTATTACAAAACGTAGGGTAGCGTTCTTCTCCCAAATCCAGATAAGTGCTTTACAACAGGATCAATCAATATACATCGAGCAAAACTCAAACTCATGGCTAAGAACGTGTGGCCAGATGTTCCACGCTCTCTACCTCTTATCGCTGTCTGGGGTCAACATCACCCACGCTCGGTTTGATCCATCCAGCTACCGGTACCACTGCATTCATAAAATTCTTAACATGGTGCGCGTGAGCACCACATTCTTCTTTCTCTCTATGTACATGTAAAACGTTCTAGGTTCTTAAGCTTCAAAGCTAATGTGAATCTTTTCCTACCTCTTTGTGCGAGTATGTCTTGGTGACTCTTGGCCTAGTGTAGGTCATCACTGCAACAATTAAACGTGGAGCCTGAGTCGATGGAGAATTAATCATCTGGAGAAAATTGCAGCAATTGCATGTGCATTTCTCGTTGACAAGATGAATCAACGATTGTGCACCCAGAAAACATCCACCGAGAAAGCATTGGGGCCTACGTGATCCGGGCTGGCCAATCTGTGTCTACCTCCGATGATCTCACTCAAAAATCTGCCTACATTTGAACTGTACTGTACGATGGCATAGTCCGCAATCTTGTGAATAATGTACAAGGTGGCCAGAAAATGCTCTTGGGCCGAGTGCTTCATCTCGGGTGGGATGTTCGTGTGCCCACCAAGTCTCTCGATCAGGGCGTTGTCATAAGTCCAGTCGTACATGAGGAAGCGTTTTCCTTCTTGGCCGTTCATAGAATCCGGGAGTCCGGTGACGTTGTTGAGTGCTTGGGCCAGAGATTGAATTGCAGAGCCAGAGTCAGAGATGATGAATATCGATTCCCACCGAAAATTGAACTGCTCCTCCATGGATTTCATCTGGTCGACGTAGTCAACCACGCTTCTGTACTTCTTGTGTTGTTGGAAGTATGGATCCTCCCACTGCAAACAAGGGCCAGCGAAATTTACACATGAGCTTCTTATGGGGTCAACTGGAAATGAACCAGCTCTGAAATGATTACTCAGAGCAGGCATTGTGAGTGATCGATCGGGCACAGAACTGACCTTTTTGTCCGTCTGCCGGACGTGAAGAGCAAGAACGGGCGGCATCCAAAGCGGCCTCTCCATCTCATCTTGATATCTGGACATGATTTTGTTGGCAATTTTCTTAACACGATCTGATGTCTGTCTCATCATCCAGGCGCTCATCATTCCGTGCAGAGCGAAATCGATCTGCGAATCTCTTAGCTTATCGACGGCTCTCTCGCTTCTGTTGTGCACTCCAGCTCCTCCTTCCTTCCGGAGTTCGTTCCACAGACGCAACTTGGGCCTTCTCCAGGCATCGTTGTGCGATTGTGCATCATATCTGAACATGAAGCTTCTCAAGATGGTCATGCCGCCTGGCCGTGTGGTGTTGTCATGCCAGAGTGAATCCCACGTAGCGCCCTTGTATCCTCTCGCGGTCTGATTGTTCATGACCTCGGTCCTATAGGGATCCTCCTCCACTCTGCAGCTCGTCAGATTGAAAAAACATCCGATGTGCTTGTCCTTGTCTTCGCCGCATCCGTCAAAAGTTGGAAGCCCCGTCTTCCCGGGTGGTCTCGAGATAGGCACGACTGTGTAGCCATCCCCTTTCATTAACCCCATCATGAGAACAGGAGTGATGATATGTGTACACGACAACAAACCTGCAAATCAGATAAGGCACGACTCAGACCTTTGCACTCTGAAGGTGGGCAGCAAATCCGATGCGGACCCTGGTTTGGTTAAGTTGCTAGTTTGAAGCTCAGGTACAGGCAACTGCAAGAGGAAGAAGCTTGATGTACCAGAATCGTGGGTGCGGTGTGCAATCCAATGATTGTCTGTGCACCGTTTGGGAAACTGATGAGCTTCCAGCCTCGATAGAAAAGCTCTCTCCAAATCTTCATCGTACCAGAGCGTCCCATTCTTCAGTGAGTCATGTAATCTGTGTCTACCTTCCCAGTTTGGATCCTGAGGATTGATCAGATTGTTCCTCCACCATTCGGCCGATCGTTCCCTCCAGTCCAAAAAATTCCTACTCGCCTCCTTTAAACTGTTGTGCGGCCCTGTTCAATGTAATATACTGCCAGATGTAAATCTCACATTCTCGTCTGCAGCCTAACCAGCACTATCAAATTTGAGAGCATTTTCAAGTCGCAAGCTACCTCGTGGTCTGCACTGACCTATATTTAAGAGGTTTGCAATGGAGTCACTTTAGTTCTTTCACATGACAACGACAACTCGCTGCATGAGCAACTCGGTGGCTTATGATGTACTTACAGGTGAGAGATAACATATTTTGTCTCTCCTCGAACGTTTGTAGGCCACCAGCTTCGTACCAGTAGCCTCTTGCCAAGACTATGGGAGGGAAATCTAAGCTGCAAGAGATGAGCACTGAAATCCCGCATATGACTGTCACCGCAACAAATATGGTCAGCGCTAGACTCCGATGAACCTTCATCTTGTCGAGGTCAATCACTCGCCGGATGGCAACGACGAGCTGCCCTTGGATCTCAATGTCCACCAAGCCCAAACTGGGCTTCTCTATCTTCTTGTTAGTCAATGGTCATTCAAAAATGAAATCGGTCTGTGAGATAGCTACTCAATGAGTTTGCCTGTGATTCAGTCTATTGGCTTCTCTGTCTGGCTATCTGGCTATCTGTCTGTCTATCTCTCCCAGCTCACAAAATCGAACCTGGTGTTCTCGGCTGTCTAGGGTCCTCCAAAACTGCACCCGCCTCCATCAAAATAAACTCCCTACACACACATTTCTCTACAACTGCTACACTAAGAGTCACTTCACATCGCCATAATCACTTGCGAGATGCTGGTGCTAGCTTTAACTTGGAGGTTTCTAAATGCCTTACGACCGAGTCGAGCCATGGCTTCTTCGTCAATGCCGCTGCCAGTAGCACTAAACTGAGAAAGAGCCTGACAATTCGATGAACCTTTTAGGAAAGGTTCATTCCTTGGGCGAAACTGCATGTGATTCACTGCAGATCACAGTGTAGGCTGATTCGTGATGAAGTGCCTGGGCCTAGCTTCTCCGCTCGAGGGCCTTCTTCAAGCCTTCCTTGGTTCACGTTGGGCCTCATGAAACCTTCTTGACGGCGGCCCCACCATCATGGACCGGCTCTCCATGACCTTCGTCTGCGCCTCCGAATCAGGACGCCACCATTTAAATCAATTCACCTTTCCCGCAACGTACCGTCTGCAGCTGCCGGTCCGGCTCTCAGAATCTTCATAACCAGGGCAAACGAAATCGGCACGACAGTGAGTAGTGTGACACTCCCCATTCGATCGTTGCACAATTTGGAGCACAAGTTCCCAGAGGAGCCGCCCACAAGTTCCTTCTTCGTGATTTATATATTGACGGAACAGTGAGTCCAACCACTGTTGAGCTATGGCTTTCATGCAGTATCAGGAGATTATTAATCATCAAATATGCTCTACCAGATTATTGGCATCCTTCTACTCTCAGGTCCATGTGGCTTTCCTGTCAGGGCCTTGATTTCTGTCGTTCGCTTACTGCATCTCACATATTATTAAAAGTTTCCAGAGAAGAGGTAGAGACTTGTATTGCCATCACCAACCAGCCCCTCTTCCTGCATTACTAGCAACGCTGAGCTTAGAATCGAGACAGTCACAGTCACTCGAAAACGGCCGAGTCAGATGTATCTTTGGATTGTAAACAAGTACAGAATCTTCAGACCTCGTTGACGTGAAATTTGTTACCAGCAACCTAGAATTGTTATACCATTCACGTTCTGGTTTTCTTTCCTCGCCAGCGTATCCACTTTGAATGCCGTGACTCTCCAAAATTTTGTGAAGTCCAGATCAGGATTGAGAATTATCTGTCCATATTTTTCGCTCGGTGCTTGGAAATTTCTACTCTTGTCGATGAGGTTCTTTCGATGTAAGACAAATGCACCATCCCGAACCGTGAGCCGCACATTTCACCGCAAACCTTTGACGTCAAGGTCCTCACCTATTCATGCGCTCTGATGGATTATCAGAGTCAGCTGCTTGTGCTTACTCCGTTGGCGGAAAGAATTCTGCATGTTTTAATCTTTCATTAAGCCAAACAGGCCCACGATGTACAAAGTCGAGACGTATTCGGTCTTAAGGATCGATCGTTCTACATATCTACAGCGATCCGCCTCGGCGCTGTAACAGCTCTGATTCCGAGAAACAACGCCTCGGAATAAAATCCACGATCGCCATGCCACCTCCTCCTGAAGAAAGGTATCACGTAATCACGGGGGTGCACTGATACTCGTCGGTCTGGAGCTGCAGCCGAGCTCGACTCGACGTCTCGCTGCACAGCCCACGTCATGGGAAGTAGGAGCTGACGTGGAAGCGGGACGCACTGTTGGCAGATGCAGCGGACGACGCGAGATCCGGACGTAGGCACTGGTCACGGATCCGCTGATTCGGAGTCGTGGAGCGTTTCTGACCGAAGTGTGACGTTCGACTCGTGTCGTGACCTGGTTGGCTCGTGTGGCTGGCGGGGCGAAGAATTTCGGCATCTGCGTGTCGTGCTGGCTCGCTCGCGGACATGGCCTCACTCACTCACTCACTCACTCCTCACTCCAGGCGAGAGCGGCGAGCGCTTCTTCTTCAGCTCCAGATCCACCGGCACCACCGGCACCTGCTGCAGCTCCCCAGTCGCGATCCGATCGTCTCGTCCACTGTTCCTCGTTCGTATAGGTCGGCATGCTCAGGTGGCGAACGGCTGCCGCAACAGAGGGCTTCTTTGATACTCGAGGGTAGCGATGCTCACGGCTCGGCTAACGGCTAGCCGGCTAATATTTTTTGTTAGCTCGACTTACCGGCTAGCCGGAACGCTATCCGAGGCCGAAAACGATCCGAAAACTCGAACCGACTCCGAATTTTCGGCCGATTCATCCGTAATCATACCCCCAAATCCTTATTTCGACCGAATATTTCAGCCGAAATGCGTTTTCGGCCGATAGCCGTCGGCTAATCGGCTAGCCGGCTAAATTTGAGTCATTAGCCGGCTACGTGAGCATGTCTAGTCGAGGGAGCGAGGATTCGGACTTTCCTCAGGATGCTTGATAGTGGCATAGCATGGCATGGCATGCACTTGCATGTATCTCTTTTGACCGATTCCGGTCTGATCTCAGCTCAGGACGGTCGGTCGGTCGTTAGCTCGTGATCGATCGATCGATCGGTCAGCGAGAGTGAGTGCGGTGAGGGATAGGTCTCTGAGGCTGTAGCTGGTTGCATCAATTGGGATTAGTTTTAACCCAGAAAAGCCATTGATTCTGCTGAAGTAATGCACTCGGCTTGCCCTGGGGCTTGCTTGCTTGCTTCAAGGGTTGTCAACTCTACGCTGCCGCAGTGGCATCAGTCAGTCGGTCTCTTCATCCGATTGTGGCGGAGCAATCATTCAATTCGGGTTTGTCTCTAATGAGAGTCAAAATAATGAGGCAGGACCGACTTATCCTGCAGTCAGTTGAATTCAAGGCTGAAGGTAGTGGTGAAGACGAGGATTCGGTTTGGATATTCGATTTCGGTAAACCCTAGTACTTTTGTCCGTGTCTTCCATTGTCTTCACCGCACTTCACTTCACGGCCGTCTTTCAGGCAAGACCAATCTGTTGTTAAACTTGGATCCGTTTCTTCCTTCAAAATCTGCATCGTCTCTTCTTGGCACGTCCTCCTTTGGATGATGTGTTCCTCGTGCGCTCCGAGTTCCTCCGTGCACTCCTCCATAGATTAGGGTTGTGTTATACATACGGCTCAATCATTGATAACCCTCGCGGACTTTCGAATACGACGCGCTTCGTTTCATGCTCACATTGCAGCTTGCTTCGAAATTAGTGAATGGGTTTTTTAAGTCATCGTGCATGATGTTCAATACACGAAGAAAAGAAATTCAGACAGACCTGATTCGGGAATATCTCTGTAAAGAACGGAGTCAAGCGTGTTCCTTCTACCGATTCCTCAATGACAGTTGATGAGATACGACAATATTGATGGAACCTGGCTTGCTCACGTGCCCTTAGAAGGAAGAACACACAGATTGTCAATATGAAGTTTTCTGGCCAGGTATTGCAATGATTGTTCGCGGGTGGTACAGGAACATGCACTTATCATTCTGTGAGCTATTCATGTGCATGTGAATAATCACGAAGCTGTACATGTAATTGTTGGTACCAACAAAGTGTTTCAGAATGCAATCAAGAGTTCAAATGCAAGCGACCGCATGTTGTCTAGATCATTCTGATTATCACTTCCATATTACGTGTTGCAGATGTGTTTTGGGGTTTAGTGCAGGATCTGTCCAGTCATTACCAGATCACTGTTGTTACAAGCGCTACGAGAATTAAATCTTAATATCATTGTACGAGCAATGCAGCCTCTGAGAATTATCAAATACCTTCTGAAAGTCAAGAGCGTAAATCTGTAGGTTCAGTCTTCCTTGTTAGACAGACTAAGAGTAGTAGGTTTTTTTGATAATAACTTCTCAGTATTTTCAGAGCTATCCAGAACCTGACTTGAATGAATTTACAAAATTCTCTCATGGAAGACTGCATGGTTTCACAACCTAAACCAGATGTCCTCATATGCAAACCATCATCTGAGAATTTCAAGTGTAGTCAAGGTTGTTGTCGACATGTGTCATGAGATCGAACAAGCGTGATGGAAGACAGAACGCCCTGCTACTTCGAACCGGTTGATCGACGACTCGAGGATTCTTTTTTATAGGAGGTCGGTGTGCACTGAGTCGCTGAGCTTCCGCTTGCAGCACCAACCCTCGAGGTCTTTACTTCCTGGGAAGACGACATCGACCTTCCTGTATTCTATATTCAGCCTTATTGGCAATGTTCTCTAGACTAGGCAAGTCTAGAGAACATTGCAGTGAAACATAGTGTTGTTTAAAGCACATGCTCTTCTCCGAAATTGGTCTATGACAAGCTGAATCGATTGAGGATGGAACAGATTCGCACAGCATTTGCAGAGACACTCGCCTGACGAGTCAGATTGCACTGAATGTACCGACCCTGGAGGGTTCACCTCAAGTTACCTTACCAGCATGCTGAGAAGGCCAATCATTACATGGACAACCTTCAAGTTCCAAAACCCCCACGGATGCTACTGATTTGGGTTTCTCTCGCGCAGTGAGGATCACAACCAGCTTCAGTGAGGAAATCAGGTCAAGTTTACTCACACTGAAATCTCAATGGAATCTACCAAGCTTAAACCTTTTTTCTTAAGGAACATACGGTGCTAAATTATTTGATTGAGAAGAAGTTGAAAAATTCCTGTTTGTGCTCAAATTGAGTTGAGCAAATAAAAAATGAAAATATTTTTTGGTGAAATCACTTTCGGAACAAGTTGTTATTTCAAGCGTGACACCGGTTTCTTCTCTAAGTATTCTCTCTTTTTAATCCATTTCATGGCTTCTGTAGCTAGTTAAGATAGTATAGTTGGTTGAAGCTAAGTTGTAAGTACTTTGAAGAGGTGCCAAATATCTATATTCCCATCTCCAAATGGAGTTGAAGTATAGTCAATCCAAGATCTTTCATCCGGATTGTAGAGCATTTACAAGTTAGATTTTTCTCGGAATTTACACCAATACGACATGCTTTTTTTTCTCTCTCTCTCTATAGATCTCGGATATGTTAAAACACTAATATTAAGGACATTCATGTATTTGATATAATCCGAGATCATTTACTTTACGAAGAATCAAACATTTGTAAAACTTCTTCTGAATTTAAACCATTTTATCTACGATGCTCTGGCATCGTAGATCCCTGGTTCGTGGAGAAAACTTCCAGTTTTTTGGATCTTGTGTTGTTTGGACCTCATTAGTTTGGTAATCCATAGATTTTAATACGCACGGACTTTAAAGGTGGGGGACAATCTGAAGTCTGCATGACCTGATTGGGCCATCTAGTCTTCCAAAAGCTTGAAAATTTCATGCTAGTGGCTGTCGGTAATGTGCCACGCTAGCTTAACTTGAGCCACCGAATGTATTTCACCACATCTTGATAACAAATTGCAACATGGCCACTTTTGCATCACGAGGGTTCAGATTTCCACAACACCATAGCCAGCCTTCCCGCTTCCACCCTGCCTAGCTTGCTCTTCACGAACATCGATTTTACCCAATTGTGTGTTCGCTTCGTTCAAAAGCACGTAGGTAGCTGACATTCCTATCACTCGAGTGCGAGTATCTCCTCAAGCTCAATGTCAATCGAATATCACCAAATTCTTCAGCCGAGTTTCCACTCTTTCTTTCAGGCTTACAAGCGGATAGCAGAGAATTGAAGGATGGTACAAGCCCCCACCGCCGCCCACATGTATGCAAGTAACCGGCTCAATGTGCTCGTCTTTAGGTCTTCTTTCCTCGTATGAAGAGAAGCTCACTCGTCCCTTTTTCCTCGTCCTTGATCTATTCCGTGCGCTAGTTGAGACCGAAACCTCGTGTACTAAGATAGCATGCCCTAAATTCTCGCCCGTAGATAACCTCAACTTGGTAAATAAAGCGACCAAATAATGAAGCAGACAGGATGGGAAGCCCGGATACAAGGCCAGATCCAATTAGGTCACAATTGAATGGGAGATACTACTGGAAATAACATAGTCGAAGTTTTCAGGGAGACTGAATTGTATGGATAGCAGTACCCAGAGCACGCTATTCCAAAATGGAAGCACTTTACTTAAAACAGTTTATGCAACGATCTAAATATACTGATTCCCCTGCAACCATAGGCTCCTGCGTCGCAGTTGAGAAATGATTCATTCTTTGTCGTTCTCGAGTTTCGGACATATCACTTTTTTGTAGTTCTATTTTGTAGTGGAATGAGTGGAAGCTGAAAAGTTGTGTCAGTCCACGATATTCTTGAACATGCATCGTGTCTGCCTCGTAGACTCTGTTCATGGTACCGTGTTTTGTGGTGGAACCATGATGAAGTGAGTCAGACATCATCTTGTTCTCTTCTTCGCAGCACTTGGCCACAAAGCGTACATGTTCCGTTATGGCACGAAGTGCCGTGTAAACTTGTTGAGTGCAGGGATGGGCACTTTTGTATTGATGGCAAACATTTGGTCTCTTGCACTCACTCTCTAGCGGAAGTTGTCACATCTGCAAAGAATCAGACATTTCCTGTTTTCATGACTTAGAACAGCCGAAATCCGGGGCAGAGAATTTCTCCCCTTCCCAGAGGGTCTCTTACCTTGCTGCATGCACATATGTAGGTCTCGTTTCTTTGCACCGAGTGCAAGAACTACATCTGATCATCCGCCATCCCGCGATTCAGACCTGAAGGATTTGAGCAAGGCATTTGACTATGATTAGATTATATTGTCAAGATTATTTGCATCCAGAAAGCTTCTAAAATTGGTGGCTACATGAACTTGCATGGCAAATTGCACATGCAAGTCGGGACACAAAGGACGGACTCCTAGCCCGTGAGAAAATTCCGCCGGTCTGCTGAAGAGAAAGCGATGGACACTAATCTATCTTCTCAGGATCAGCAACAAAATCAAAGCCCGGTTCAAGGAGAGGTCTTCTTGTCAATCAGGTATCCAGGAAGATTGCCCATTGCAATTTACCTCGACATCTGAGTAGAATACTGCTGCAAATCAGAACGGGGTTGCTTGTACGATTCACGCCACCAATCCATCCAACAGAAACCTCTCTCATCGTGAACAAATTTACACTTCATATGTCTGGGTCATGGAGTTGGCTCATTCCCATGTTTTTGTCAAGGTCGCGGAAATATTTCTCGAAGATCTCTGTCTCAAAACGCACAGGAGGTCAGACTACGCAGTATTCGACGGAGCGAATATTTCGTCCTGTTTCAGCGGTGATCCCCAGTGCCGACACAAGAACGTCCGGTTAACGATCATGAAACAAGAAACATAAGACGTGCAATGCGACTCACTGCAATACCTTTCCACGGAACTCCGGATGCTCCTCGGATGATTCTAATCCATCCAATAAACTCTTTGCGCACATGTTCTGAATTGACATCACATCCGATCGACGCAAAGTGCCCATGGTACCCAGAGAACTTTGACACAAGACGAAAATGCTTTTCAGAAGATCTGGACTCCAGTCCTGCAAGAACTCAACCATTCCTTCAGCACCTTGGAGCAGCAAAAACACCAACCCTGCTGACACAAATCGCCAGGGCTGAGGAACGACAACAGGCCATGAGACATACGGGAAAATTTTTCGGCTGGCAGAATTCAAACATCCCCATACACGCAGTCGGATACAGCACAAGCAGCAAGCAATCACGCACACTACAAAGCCCTACTGGCCTCTGGTACCCCGCCCATCTGCGAGCGCCGAGTTCAGGTCATCGACGATGAAAATGCCGGACCCGTCTGTGGACCCAACATTGGCCGATGAGGAACTTCTAGGGACGGTAAAATACCCGGTCATCCAGGAGGTTCCCGGTGACCTTGTTCGCGACGAGTTGACGCTTGTCCCGGTCATGATGGCATTCTATTGGGCGTAGCTCCAGTTCCCAGGTGGAAATCGCAGGCTCCGAGGATCAAATAACGGGCCCGCAATTCTTCTCGTGAGAGCTGCCAAGCTGTGAGCAGAGAGAGGACGAGGAAGGCCTCTGCTGCGGCTCCGTGCTTCTGCTGCTGGCCTGGAGGCAGAGATTTGATTTTCAAGTTCAGTGCTCGTGCAGATCGAGACATTGCGATTTTGGTGGTGCTCGACATTGGAGGAGGATGGCGGCGACGGAGCCGGATTATCTTTTTCTCGGCGAGCCTTCATGGGAGCCCCTTCCAGGAGGTCGCGTCCGATGTTCCCAGACTGGCCATGAAATGCCTGCAGCAGCGCAGGCGACATACTCTCTAACCAAGAAGTGTCGAGCTGCGCTTTTCGACGCTGCATTGAAGAAGAGAACTGCTCCACTCAATTTTTTCGAGCAAAGCCCTGATAATAAGTGAATCCCTGCACGCTTTTCTTTGTCTTCACCTCTATGCCGTGTTTTGGATGACTGTCAATTCGAAATTGTATCACTCTTGTGAGAGTAGGTGGTTAGAAATGTACAGACTTCATTTGAAACGCGTGCAATTTATAGGTCATGGAGAGAAGGAAGAACATGTTGAAAGTTTGCCGGTGGAAAGCAGGATTTAGAATCTGTGGAATCATGCATTTTCAGGAAGCTGTGTGTGGTTCAAGGCTTTCAAGAAGGAATTAACAATCCATTCTGTTTTCCCCCCTGAATGCACCTTTAGAACTATGGGTTCTTACTGCAGCTTGTCGTCCATTCTGTGTGCATCCTCAGAGACAAGATTGTCTGCAAATTGACTGGAGTTGTATTAAACAAGAAAGAAGATGCCGTGTGGAAGCACATGATGGGCAAAAAGTTTGAGCAAAAATTAGGTGAGTGACTCACTTGAACTCTTAGGTTAGAAGTTTGTCCGAGCTAATTCGTGGCGTTCGTGCTGTTTCAAATTTTTTGCTATCCTCAGTTATTCCATGAAGCATATATTCTTTGCAGCACGCAAAGGATATATGCTGAAAACATGAGTTATTACTAAGTGATCACCATACTGTCTTGAATTTTTTTTTTACTCTTTGCAACTGAAGTTAGAACCTTCTTCATTAAGTTTTTCAAGAAGACTGCCCTCTCGTATGCAAATGTCTTGAGCTACCGACCTTACAAGTAAGCTTACATTTTGGTGATTTGCAGCTGAAAAAGAAGCAGAGAAGGAAAGAGCCCGAGGTGATGTTGAAATGATGGAGAACAGCGATAGAGAACAGTCCGAGAAGAAGAGCGCTCAAAGGAAGGGGAAAGCCTTTGACGATGCTGAGATGATGGAAACCAGCACCAAAAAGCAGATCTCGAAGAAGATAGGGAAGAATGAAGGAAGCAAGTCAGGTAAAAGCAAGCATGAACAACAGTATGAGCTGGGATCGAAATCTGTGCATGATGAAGAAGAGGAAGAAGCTGAATCTTCTGAGAGTTCGGAGTTTTGGATGCCTCCTCCCGGCGATCGATGGGATTTCGACGATGGAAGTGAGGACAGATGGACACAGCCTGGTGATCCTGAGGGAAGAGCTAAAACAGCTGAGGATGAGGCGGACGACGACACGGAAATGGCTGACGGTAAGTCTGCCTACACATCTGTTCTCCTTTTAGTCACAAGCGCACTTGGCACGAGCAATTTCTTTCGGATGTTACGTCTTCCAGCAGCAGATACGCTACCTTAGTATCTTGCTTTTGGTGTTGAATAGAAACGCAGGTGTTATCTTCTGGTCATTATATTATGTTCTAAATTCAGAAACTAAAAACTTGAAAACGTGCTTCATTTCAAAGTGTAAGCCAGTTGTACCGGTAGATATGGATTGGGTCTCTAGACAAGTGTCTATGGAAAAAATTTTGCTGGAAGTTGTAATGTCATTTCTTTCTACCAATCTCATGCTTGGATTTTGTCTACACCCTTCTATTGATGATCAGGACCAGGTGAGGACGGAGATGACAAGAGTAGTAGTGAGGATGAGGTCAAGATTCGGTGTGTATATCTAAACCCTACCGAGTTAATGGACGATTCATTACCCTCTCTCTAGCACTTGATTGAAGAGTTCAGAAAGTTGTTAGCTTGCTCATTATCTTGCGTGTATTTGGTTCATTTGGCTGATTCCTCAAGCCGACACATTGGATGTTGCAATCGCTTTGCAGAACGAAACGAATGGCCGGGGGTTTAAGTAAGCAAGCAAAACGGAGGAAGGCCAAACGCGTAAGAAAAGACGCAAGTACATAGTACATCTAGAGGAAGTGTAGTCTGAACGGTATCACTAGTTAAGGACCGTACAACTAGAAGTTTGATGCTTATTAACCCCATCCAAAGGAGCAATGCCACTTCATTGGAATAGCTTGACCTTATTGTCTCAGCTTCAGAATAGATGAGAGCCTTGAGAACTACCTGCAGGTAATCATCTGCGGTAGTACGCCATTTTTTTGTATTATGTACTGTATACAGTGGACAACATAATCAGGTTTAGCCTGCGCTGAAGGGCAATAAGCCATTCAAATGTATCCCTCTCCACCGTCAATCGAAGAAGACCTATCTGGAGGACTGAAAGTCGTCAATGAAGGGTATCAGGGGAAAGTACGAAGCGGATCAGTGACGCAATACTCATGGTATCATTGAGCTCTGTGTCGAAAATTCTATTTCGACATATGAGGATAGTGCAGTTATCAGTCGGAAAGGGTTTGCAGAGAGGATTTTTCTTGATTTGGCCTGTCTGCACGCCAGGCAATTTAATAATGAATTTGCTCCATTTCGTCGTCTTCTGGTATGTAGTGCTCTACCTTCAAGGTGGCAGACAACAGCCAAGACGACGGCAGGACTGGGTGGAGATTATACATCTATGCGTTCTGTATTCAGTTTTGTTTCTCATGAAAAAACATGCATGATCTGTTTGGACCTTACGTTGCTTGACCATCTCTCTGATTTGCCTGCCTCTTCAACTGTGATTTGGACCAATAGATGCTCGCCATACGCTGGTCACCACTCCCCACCTGAAATCTCGTTCAAGATGGCATATCTCTCACAACACCGTCCTCTTGAATCCTATAAGCCGACGTAAAGTAAGTCATTCGATCGTGTAGCAGGTGTGCATACCTGCACTTTATGTCGATGTAAACTCACACAGTTAGAAGAAAGCAACATATCCCAAGATGGCAAGAGTTGACAGCGGTGAAAAAGTAAGATTAAGCACTTCCGCCATTTTTATGTGGATCTTTTCGATCAAACTTCAGTGCGAAGAGTGGTTTGACAGATCGAACTTCATAGTTGTAACCATTCGCTATTTCAATGGCTGTGTTATTGTGAGAAGTCAGTATATCTTCCTCGTATTGGCTCTCAAGAGATATGGGCAAACGTATCGTTGTATCTGCATGAACGTCATAATAGATTACACCATGCCCGTCATATCTTCCTTCAAACTATTTGTCAACTTGACATAGATGGCGAGTTCTAGCGCTGGCCTAACATGGGTTAATGGCATGTTACGAGCGCGTAGATAAGGAGGAGCATCAAGTCATTGCAACAGTGTCAAAGGGTGGATCAAAATGTCTTGAGTATCACATGAGGAAACGGGCCGTAGGGCTATCAATAACAGGAGCAGGAGTTCACAATATAGAAGGCAAATTTTCGGTCTCAGCAGCAACAATTGTGTTTTATAATTTTACATCCATTGGAAGCAAGGTAATATTCCGTTTTAGAGTGCAACATCATTACTGTAGATATCGCCGTCCAAGAACCTCACCGGAAGTGAATAATGAACACCCTTTAAAGTGTGAGCTGGATCTCTCAGCTGGGAACATCAGTGCTGCTCAATATTGATTGCCAATTAGATGTTTGGAACAGTCACTGCCCGGCGGTTGCACCCACCTTTATCTCGGTTTATTTGCCTTGTAGTCTACTTGACTGCTGATCATGATCCTGTGGTCAGTCAACATCGTTCTCTTTCTTGAATCTCTAGTTGGGCTTGCTTCTTTCTTTGATAATTCACCTCATTTACGATTTGATCAAGTTATGATCCTTTACTAAATATGATTTCATAAATCTTGATGATAACGTTTTCATGGTAACATGGCTAACCTTCATGTTAAAAACATACCTTATCCAGCTTTCTTTATATTTTATTATCCCGCTTTGGGTTCGATAAGTCTATATTAACATATTTTATGTACTTTCTGCAGCTGGTTAAGAATTGATCAAATTTACAGTATTTAAAACAGATCAGCCAGTAGATTATCTACTATCAAAATAAGTCTTTTACGTGATTACCCTGATATCTCATACTTAGAAATGTAAAACATAAGAGAGCATATATTGGTATTTTTTTTGAAAAAATTTATTTAAAAAAAAATCAAACCTTGCTTCTGAGCTTCAGTATTTTTCTTTGTTAGATCTAGACGTGACTATATATATAAACTGGATGATTAAATGCTTGGCTAAATCTTTGTCTAATAAGAAGTGCTCCTCAGTTGTTATAATATAAAGCATGGCTTGTTTCAAAAAAGTTTTAAAAAAAAAGCTTCTAGAGATAATTTTTTGCTTGTTAAAAAATGTTACAAGAATGCGCTTGAACTAGATTAAGAGACGCATTGTCTAAATTTGATAAATTGTATATGATCCCAACAGCAAATCTCATGACAGGTTGTAGAACACAAATTTCACTTACTTCATCCGCCATAATTCACACACTGAAAATTATTCAATGGAATTTGTCCATCCTTTAAGATTACTCTTCATTCCATGCAAAATCAAACCAAATTTGATCTACGTCCTCATCCATTCTTGGTCAAACTGCTGTCCACTCTTTCAGTGGACAGCGAAGCAATTTTATACACTTCCTCACTACAGTTGTGAAATTTTATCACATACTACTTTCATACTATATTCTCCGATTCTAAGTAGAGCACAACTGTACACATTCCGAGTGTGCATTGGTTTTGTCACCTCATGCTTGGAGCTCAGCACCTCATACTCAAATGCCACAAGCCGATGTTGATCGCATCCAACATCTCTACCAATTTGGTCTAGAGTCTTGAGCCAAATGCCTTGCACTTTCCAACCTCGTGCGGCAATAATCGTGCCCCAATGCATATATAACATTGATGAATTAATTGAAATTAGAATAATTGATGAAATTGAAACGAACTTTAATGTCTTTGAATTTGTTTTAACCGTATGGTTTTTTATACGGTGTGAGTGTGAGTAAGAGCTTGATGTTGTATTCCTCTTATATCTGGTCTGTTCATGACACACTAACGCTTTGATATTAATCGTGAAGAACTCATCATGAGAAAATGGAAAGACAACGCCAACAAAAATACGAGGTTTACCAATAGGAGGTTTGAACCATGTCTATGGTAACACAACAAACTTACTGAAGTAAAATGTAATTTGTTTGGTTGAGAGATTTCATAAGATTTCTTATAGAATTTCAGATTATTTACCTGAACTAATTGGATTAAATTAACTTGAGTTGAGTAACATCTAATCAAACTCCTATCATGCAAAATTAAACAATCTAGTAGAAACATATGACAATCTTGTGATTTCATGTAAGATTCAATCCTTTAGACAATTGAGCATGAAGAAATTGAAAATTATAATAATATTTTCTTTGAAAGTGTTAAAAAAATTATTTAAACTTCAAATTCAAATTCAAATTTCAATTTCAAATTTCATATTTCATGTTACATGTAATTAATTTGGCTAAAATAACTTTTCTTCCAAATAAAAAAAAAACCTTCTTGAATGATTATCTCCTGTTTTATATTTATGTAGAATTATAAAGGTAGGTATTTTTCAGATAACTTGGTTATTTCAAGAAAGACATCCATATTGATTACTCATCTATTACATTTGAAAGCAAAATGAGTTTTTTATTCTCCCATTATCTTTGTGCTTTGGCCAAATCCAAGCTTCGAGAGACGATGAAACTATCAATTGAGTCAACATTTGTTTTCATCATTTCCTCAAAACACTCTAAGTTGCATGTTTATGCTCTTGTGCTCTTAACAATCTTTTGTTCTAGTTTGACTATGTGATGTGAATAACAACCACAATCTACTGAATCTAATCCACTCTCTTGTAATTCTGTAATTCTCTTTTCTATAATTAATGAAGGACCTTTCAGCATTGAAGATTGGAGATCCGACGCGATGGGTTTTTGGTAGTAATTTACTTAGGTCAGGAAATAATTTTTACCTTTTTGGATTCTTTGGATTTGTCCTCTAGGATGTATGGAGTACCTTGAGCTTTGATTAGAGGAATTCCAACCAGACGACTATCCGGTAGAAACTTCTCACGTCAAGAATCTGCGCTAACTTTCTGGAATCTCGATTGGTTATTATCTCAGATAAAAAATTTAGCTTAGAGATTCGGATGAGAAGGCTTAGGAAGAACTTGATTCTTCTTGAACCTTGTTAATTGCTTCGTCATCCTAAGGTCACATGTAATCCCCACATTGTCATGCAAAGAATTCGAAGGAATGATGAAGCTAGGGTTGATACCATGCAAGGCTACTTATTCACAGATCAAGGACAACATTCATTCAAGTTATTTAGTCAGCCTCTGGTATTCCACTCGCGTATGAAGAAGATTTTTTCGATTCTTTTCGTCATCTTCAGATCGTCTTTCTTCTTATCTTATTATTTCCACACGCTATCTTCGGGTTTCTTTTTTTCTACCAAATTTCCAATCAATTTGCCATCTTTAGTGTTGTCGAAACTTACGCGTCACACAAAAATTCTTGAGCTTCACGAGAATGAGGAGTAACAAAGACGCTCCAACACCGTGATTCAGTGGATAAATATTATGTACAATATTCAGTACTCAATTGTGAGCGATGAAGGTCTTGATTATGATTCCATATCGACTAAAGAATCAAGATATCATTAAGAAATTACCAAATATTACATACCATCTCTCCCAACCTTTATCATGTTACTTTAATTGTCTTATGGTTTTCTTCATATTTTGATTTGCAGCGTACTTGTTACATACAAAATATCCAAGCATATCATATTATTAAACTTATAATTTCTTAAGTTTGATGCATATAAAATATATAAATTAATCGAATGAATATTAATCTGTTCAGTTTCTTTTGCAAATTAAGTTAAAAAGACTCTTATGGTATTTCATAATAAGATATAAAGTACAATTGCATATTCATTGGATAATTATCGTATCTCGAAGTCAAGTATTATATTCAAGTTTGCTCTCGTGCATGTAACGCTTGATGGGCCTTCCCTATTATATTGTGTATGGATTATCTCCTTGTTCTGAAAATTTTGAACTTGTTTGTGACTACCGTACCTTCCGATGATTTTGGATTGTTGCGAAGCAGCTAAAATGGACCACGAAGAAGAATGTCGTACAACCGTTCGATTCTTCGATAGGAAGAAGCTCATGCTTTTATGTGCAGCAGTGACTTGTCTAAGCATCGCACATCAGACCAGCGATGACAACGTCAAAAGGGGCGACGTACGAAGTAAGAAATATATAGGAAAGGAGATGGGAGGGCCCCATTAATACCGTACATGGATGAATCCAGGGGTGAATCACTTGTTGTCCCTTGTATGTCTTTTTAGAGTTGGGGAAACGTATGGAAGTCGCACCCTCTGCAGTGGCTTTCAAATCCACCATAGCACATACTTCCTATCAACAGTATTAAAATCCAAACATGCACAATCAGAGTACTTTTCTTTTTAGTAATTTGAGTCAGCCTTCGGAGTGTTTACTTCTTGTGGATTTCTTCAAGTTACCTGTTGTATCCCTTAGTGTAAATGCACTTTTATAGCTTCTCCAGACGGTTTGGTCCCAGCCCAGTGCTGCATTTTATGTATGTTCCAAGAATAATTTTATATATTATACAAATTGGTGATAACATTTGTACGGAGATTATAGCCTGTTTCGAGAATAATACTTGTTGCTTTTAGACATCCCGCATGACATTTTCTTCTCACCCAGAGAACCTCTCCTGCATAAGTGCTACATTTCTGTACTTGAATTATTGTACATCAGGGAAACTCCGAAGTGTATGCAAAGAACAAAAAAATTCAAGAGAATCAAAACTTAGTGCAAGCGGAAATGAAATGATTACATTCAAGACTGTTGAATGGGATTAAAAACTTTCCTTGTTAAGGTGTCATTGTTTTGGTATAAAAGGAATGTGTGCATGTCACAATCTTATGCTCAAGTTTTCATCCGACCCTCTTTACATTTATATTCTCCAACTATTGCCCTGTGGGACAAAACAGTAAAAAATCCAAATTTCTCAGCTCTTTAATGGAGAGACTGTTAGAAAACGAGATCCACAAGAGCCACGGTGGGATCTCTCTTTTGACTCTTTCGACTTTTGTCCCAAGTTCAATCTGACACCTTGTAGATTCACATACGCTACAGTTAGTCTATGTCTCCATACGACAGTCGTGAGCATGTTAGAGTGTCTCACTTGCATGCATTTCTCTGTGCGGTACGTCACTGTCAAGAGCAAACATTGTGAACATTGTCTCAAACGCTCCATCGACTCGGGCAGAACGATCTCAGAATTGCAAAACTAAGTTCCAAGCTGCGTCCTCCTCTTCGAATGCTCAAATCTCCCAAACGTAAAGTTGGGGAACACATTATGTGGACAGCAAATTCAGAGCAGATGCTAGAGTAGAGTAGACCTGCCAACTGCGTAAGACCCTTGACAAATGTTGGTCTCCAGAGTCCTCCGACCCCACAGAGGTGATGCTGCACATTCCAAAAACAAGTAAAACCATTTGCTGGGAGGCGGGACAGTAAGGAGGATACGATATGTGCATACTGTATGGAGTCGTAGAATCTTCCTGTCGGTGAGGATTTGAACACTTGATGGACTATGAGGACAGCTGTTGGAAATGCGTAAGAGTTAATGCATCGACAGCATACATACATACAGTACGAAGGTGCCAAACAATCTCTCTCTCGTGATGAACGAGGTGAACAGCACGCACTCATTCACGTACAGGATGAAGGCGAAGGTGTCGTGGACTTGCGAGCTCTAACGTGGACCGGATCGGACCGGCAGTTGTCACTCCATCGCCCACCAACGGTCGAATTACAGGAAAAACCAGATGCTGAGGGCCGCCGTGAAGTGCATGCTCCGGCTGTGAGCTCGGCTCGACGGTGACGTGAGAGGAAAAGGCATTCATGCGGTCGCGTCAGTAGTAGCCATGCAGATTGTGATTGGCGCAGTACGAGTACAAACGAAAGGACGGGACAATCGGACATGCAGGCTCGCCGAGCAGAAGAGTTGGGTGGAGATTGGAGTCCCTCGTAAATGATCAAGTGTTCTCGCCTGCTTGCACCTGAAATCCTCAATCCACGTCAAACGGAGACCAAACCGTCTCTGTCGTTTGTCTTTGGACTGAGGAGCTCAATAATGCCGTGTACAGCAATGGGGCCCATGATTATATCTCTTGTATTGCAGTTTTCTGCTTTCAGGGGTGCCATGCAGTCGATCTAATATCTGCCAGAGACCCGTAGTTTCGGTTCGAGTGTTTGTCTAGTTGAGACAGAGCGAGTACTTCTCAAATCCTGCACTTCTCCCAGACCTTGCGTGTAGTGGTGACAGAGTGAGCCGAATTGATCATTTTCTGAGTTTATCAATGAGGAGAGTTGAAGGGGCCTCTTGCTTGGCAGAGCATTGCAGAAGATCAACGGAAATGTCCACCCCCATCCCCTTAGGACGAGAGTGAAGAGGCAAACAAGAGTCTGAGCAGATTCAAGTGGTGGGTTATTCCAGTTCTTGTCGTGGTCCACCGCGCAAGTCCATTTTCTGTCGTCTATGTCCATATCGTCCACGTGTCGTACACGAACGGTCAGTCCGATGCAAGCAGTCTTCAGCGTAGACAATCCAGCTGATGTTAGGTGATTGAGTTTCTTGAACAAACAAATTTCAGAAACTAGTTTCCGGGGTTGATATGAAAAATGGCACTTTTCAGCAGTCTGTTCAATCCGGAGGCAGTTTTTACTCTCGCCTCGTCAGCTAAAATCTCAACTCTAAGTGGATACCTTGAGAAAGCCTGGCTCTTGGTATTGTCACGAACAACCTCCTCTTGATCAGTGATTATTGATATTCAGGGGCGAGAATTTCTCAATCGGAAGGGTTTCAATTGCTCGTTGCTTTTGCCTGTTCTTTGGGATTTGGTGATTTTTTACTGTAAAATTCCAAGGAGGTAAAGGTTTGCTAGTGTTCATGGCTTTGCTTGACTGTCCCAACTTTCTTAAGGTGCGAAGCTTTTTGACCAGCGTGCGAACTGTGTCTGATGTTTGCAGTTCGTCTTCTGATGTGCAGGTTGAAAACAATTTGAACAAAATGAAGCGATATCCCACCGGGCCGGTTCCCTGTCGTGACGACCCCTCTTGCGATGTGCGTATAACCAGCATGCTCCAACCAGGACCGATAAGTATCTTCGCATTATGGGGTTTAGTGATAGTATCCTGCAGCACCTTCCAGGTTTTAAAACTGCTGGCCTCGAGAAGGAAACCCGTGAAGCCAATCATTTATCACGGGACGAAACCTTTGAGTACAGAGGAAGTTCAAAGACCCCCTAATACGAATTCAGTGACAAGAGAAGCAGGTTTAAGTGAGTGCGACATACGTTTGAACGTAGAAGGGCAAGCAGAACTGCGTTTCACGGGCTATAAAACAACAGTTTTCGGAGAATGGTGTTACCTTCTCTGTTGCCTGGTATCCTTACACTGGATGGCAATCTTTGTACTTATATTGGTGGACACCTACAATGGCTGTCAAGTTGGTGGGATTGACAACTTGTGTTTCTTCGGTAACAACTTTATTTTCGGTACATACGAGTTGAACGGAAAGGTGAGTAACGCGTTACGTTAGATTCATATATTAAACCTGGAAAAAGAACTCCTAGTTATGGGTTTTGCGCTTACCTTGAAGCAAAGAGGTGTTCTAATCAGAATGAATGGGCTTGGAATTAGTATGTCAAGTTTTGAACGCAAATATCACTAAATTCCTTTTGTATTCGTAGATCTTTTTTACAGTTTGGTGGCTAGCGGTATTCTGGTATACAACGTGGGTACTGAATAAAGGAAGAGTTCACAATTGGTTCAGAACGCCATGTCCTTTTGATAAGGCATCAGTAGTCTACATTTGGGCAAAGGATGAGAAGCAAATACTCTCTGTCAACGTGTTCAGCATCGTCCACTTCCTGCGTAACGTAAAGGTAATACTATACGTTGTGGTGGAATTCCACTTAACTTCACTAAAAGGATATATCAATTTGAAACATGGCAGAAGTCAAGGATGTAGGCCTTCCATTAGCCAACTGTTCACCCGATGTACATCATGCATATTTTTGTAGGTATGTGTCTGATTGTCCCACGTCTCGTCCTTTTGTAGTGTTTGATCGTCGCTACGCTGCTTAACGAAATGGTTTAGGATTCCAAGGATTGAGATGGCTCCAGTGCACACTTCTGTACTTTGTTGGATGTGGGAATGATGCATTTGTTCTGATTTGACACTTTCTGAACTCTCGATATGTGACTGCAGTAGTATATCTCTCTGACCTGCTCTTTGTTCATCTCTTTTTCAGAGGCAGTTTATTTCGCCAAATACAAGGGGGCATTTCGATTGCGTGAAAATCGAATCTACTAAAGCTGGACAGCGGTTTATTATTTATCAAGGTCAGAGGTTTAATATCTATGGCAACTGCATCGATCGTGCCGAGTTTAAAGTTGGTTGTACTCTAAACCAGTATCATCAGGTATGAATATCTACTTCACCTTCTGAATATAATGGCGATTATGTGCATAAACGGCTTTGACCTTTGACAGAGCCCTCTTACATACTCTGGAATTGTCCAAATCAGCAAGTGTACGGAAAGAGAGAAATTATTTCATGTGAGATCTAGACAAATCAAATTTTTGAAATCGATTTCGAGGTGTCAGGTATTGTGAGTCTTAATCCTGAACAAAGATTGTTACCAAGGAAAGGTTGTCATGAATATCCTTTCTTTTTACCTAAATTAGTTTTATCCTTACAGTGATGCCGTGTTCCGAACAGGGAGTAGAAGGTTTGAGTAAGCACGAAGCTGAGGAGCGTCTTGAACAAGTTGGCTTGAATGAAATTCCATTCAGGCCTGAACCGCTGCTTTATATTATCATCGATGAGCTCTTTTCACTCTTTCATGTGTATCAGCTTCTTATGTACATCCTTCAGTTTTGGAACAGCTATCTGTTTGTGGCAGCTCTGATGACCTTTATTGTTCTGATAAGTGCATCCATCACCATTTTCACCCGCCGTCACAGTCAGATTGCAATTTCAAAGGTTAAATTCTACACGAGTGCAGTCTCCTTGCTTGTGCTCTCTGTCGGATTTGACACATATTCAAGACAAGTCCTTTTGTCATAACTTGAGTTCAGTTTTTGTTAGACATATGGTAATAGAATTAGTTTAAGCATAGTGATGTGAAAGTGAAATTCTTGTTCCAGATCACAGAGTATATCACCGACGCTGTAGTCATGCGCAAGGGCAGGTGGACCGAGATTGATTCACGTAAGCTTGTACCTGGAGATCTTCTGAAGATCAGAAGTGATTGGCTACTGCCGTGCGACTTGCTAATACTTCAAGGTGTCGTCTATAAACATCTCCGTTCATTTTTGTTTACACCATTTTTTCTTTGTGACATCTTGATGTAAAAAATGAAAAGATGTTCTTAATATTCTTACATCACCAAATGTTCTTCTTATGCAAAAATTAACGGTACACTTGTGATATTGCCTTTATGTATGAGAAGTTTTGCACATCACCTTAGAACAAGATTTATTCTTTTTATCTTAAAAGCAGAGTGATACCTGGAATTCAAGATTCCAGGTATCACTCTGCACACTTTGAAAATAAATCTTGAGCTTTTAATGTGGAATAGCGATATGGAGACTTCGAACGATTTTTCTTTGTAATGTTCAGGTTCCTGCATATGTGACGAAAGCGCTTTAACGGGAGAATCAATGCCTGTGCAAAAGTATGCGGCACCAGATTCTTTGGAAGAATATCTGCCAGAAGCTCGCCATGGCTCACACACGCTCTTTTCTGGCACTACTGTTCTTCAAGCTGGAGTAGAAATTGAGGATGATGTCCTCGCTATTGTTACTACTACAGGTTAGCGATACTTGCAAGATACTCATTGACTATTTCTTGACAGGCAATATCTCCACTTCTTCCTATGATATCATTCTCACTTAGTAATCTTCTGGACATGTCTGGAGAGGAGAACTGACTCCTGTTTCGAAATATGAAACTGTTTCTCCTTTTACAATTTTAAGACAAATAAGTACTGGAATGTTGTCTTCCTGTTCAGGGATGAAGACCTCTAAAGGACAGTTAATTTCAAGCATCTTGTATCCAGAAAAGATGCTTTTCAAGTACGATGAGGAGCTACCTTTAGTTGTGACTTTGCTAGTCATCTATGGGATGGTGTGTTTTGCTATATCACTTTATTTTCAGGTGAGTATGACCTTTGGATTGATTCAATAGTATTCTCCTTTCAGATTCACTGGCAGGGATGTGATATTATCGACCTCTCAATTATGCATTTACACCTTGTTACTGCTTCTTAGTCCGATTTATATGTCATTTTGAGTAAATTTACTCCTAGTGACTTAAATAGGGCGCTAATAGCTGGCAACTGTTAATATTTTTGAAGGAGCAAAGCAGTTGCTTGGATTTTACCGCTAGCTTACAGAAAGATTCCAGAAAAAATTGCTAACAGCGATGTCATTCCTTTTTCAGTTTCGGAACCCAGTTTCAATGAACTAGCAACATATATTGATTAACATTCATTAATCAAGACATCAACAGTTATACTAGTACTCGTACATGGAAACTTGCTGCAGTGAATCTGGAAGAGCAGGTCTGGTCTTATCACCTCATGTTGTCTGGAAGTTAAGAAAAAATAGATTCTTATACTTGGAGTTCATTGTAACTAATGAATGTCGTTGTGATTTTGCAGACTCAAACAGGTGCACAGAGCTTCTGGGTTACTAAGTGGATCTACTGCATGGCTATCTTAAGCCAGATTCTATCTCCTCTACTTCCAGTGGCTCTTGAAATCGGACAGCTGCAAGCAGTTGAACGACTAAAGGCATGTTCTGTAGTAGGCTTTTGAACATAAATGCCCATGAAATAACCAACTCTAAGGGTTTAGAAAGCAGCAATGATTTCGAGATTATTTTTTCAATTTGTCGGTTTTGACTGTAACTAATGTGGACACATTGTTGCTCTTTCTTACAGGGACGAAAAATCTTCTGTCTAAATCCCAAGCGCATCGCAATTGCCGGGAAGATACGTGTTTTTTGTTTTGATAAAACAGGAACATTGACCAAGGAAGGTCTGGATTTTACTGGCGTCCAGAGTGTGATAGTGGACACCGATGGTAATGGCCTTTCTTTTGGACCCTTACAGACACTGGAGAAGGAAAATGCAGTAGATGCCGTTGTTTCAATGGGACTTGCCACCTGCCACGCCGTGACTAAATTTGGAGATCGATTAGTCGGGAATCAGGTCGAGGTGAGTTCTGTTATAACTGACTTCCCTTTTTCCAGGCAAATTACAAAATTTCCGAAACATTTGCACACCGTATATTTGTTGTTTGGAACAGGGTATACTCTTTTAAAAGGACCTGACCAATTGTGAACCTTTTTTTTAGGTGAAAATGTTTGCATCGGTTGGCTGGAGGCTTCTAGAAAGCCCTGATAATTTGCCCTCCGTCAGTAGACCTGATGGTACGGACGTATTAACAATTGTTAAACGCAATGACTTTGATCATGCACGAGCAACCATGAGTGTCATCGTACAAGACAGTGAGAAGAGGCACCATATCTTTTGCAAGGTACTTCTAGAACCTACTTTCCAGTCATGATTTATGAACACAACCCTGTATTAAATCCACCGAAGAGAATGCTTCGAGATTGACTGGAATCGATCACAAGAGGAGATGGGATATTTTACCATACACTTAAAAATTCTCTGACTACAAAAGGTCAATTACATTTTCATTTTTGTGACTTCATATAGATATACCAAAAGGCAATCGATATCGATGTTGAAATAATTGTATAAAATACTCAGGGAAGTAGGTTTGTCTATTTACATCTACTTGGCACTATAAATGCATCTCAAAGATTTCATCATTTGTGTCTCAGCATTCTCAACGAAAATTTGTGAATTTGGATTGCAGGGTTCGTTTGAGAGGATACATGATCTGAGCTCTCCAGGAAGTCTTCCAGGAAATTATGCGGAAGTTTCTGAAAATCATGCTCTTGATGGTTGCTACGTGCTGGGCTTGGCACACAGGTATCGTAAATACATCTGCTCATATTCAAATGTTCAGGATAAAGCGGATATGACTTACGGAAGTTAATTAGGCACTTTAACAGTTTTAGTTTTTGGATTTTTTAAAACTTTCATTGAACATGTTCACAGGAAACTGTGCTAGGCGATTTATGCTTTTCTCAGTCATATTTACTAGAAGAATGACAGTGTGAAATGCTTGAGTTGGACTCCAATATCTGCAATTTGGTGAATTTACTTTCGATGATTTTAAACTGCAAATTAAAGCATATTTCTTGAACGACAATTTTGTAGAATGTTACCTGAAGGAACGTCTCTGGAGGACGTTTTGGCACTTTCCCGGGACGAAGTAGAACAAAGTTTGGATTTCCTGGCTTTGATCTTGTTTCGCAATGAGTTGAAACCGGAGAGCCTTCATGCAATCCAAGACTTGAAGCAAGGAGAGGTGAGGTTCCGCTACACTGGTCTTGCTGGTCTGGTAACACATGATAACCATGTACTAACACTAAAGGCTTTTTGGTGACCTTGTGTGATTAGGTTCGACCGTTGATGGTGACTGGGGATAATGCTCAATGCGGCTATTACATTGCGAAAGAGTGTGGAATGGTGGCACCCTACGTATCGGTCATGTTGGGTGATGTGTGTAAAGATGGAAGGTTGATGACGACATACCGTTTGTGCTTTACAAACTTGAAAGTAGAACTGGATGACCTTACTGCTTTACTTACTTTGTAGTGTATAGCAGTATGTGCAACTTTCAGGCTAACCTTCAGAAAGTGAATAACTTCTGACTTTCTCTAACTAACCTTCAATCAAACTTACAGTACACTATTGAACAGTCACTCCTACTGGCTGACTCAGATTAGTCTCAAATGACACTGAGAATAATGGTCAACAGCAATGGTCATTTCACCCGTGCGTACATACAACCAGCAACCAGATTTTTATGATGGCTGATTGTGGTGTATAACTTGGAACAGCGTCGGTTGGACATTATTCAGCTCCCAGAAGAATTCCACTGTTTTTAGCACAGAAGATTTGCTGAAAATCCATCTGAAAGGTATCGAAGGAGGAGTCATGGAGCTTGCAGTAACAGGAAGAGCATTTGAAGTGTTGAGAACATCAAATTTGATGGAAAAATTACTGTTTTACACCCGAATTTTTGCTCGATTCAAACCTGAAGACAAGGTTTGGGCCTCTGTTTATTTCCTCCTTGAATTATGGAATTTTCAATGTTTTTCATTGCAACTCAGTTGTGAAATTTATCAAAATTTGATCACATTATACAGAGTAGTTCATTCTGTCATGTTTCCTTCGCATCGCGGAGTACTGTTTATGGTAATGAATTATGAATATTTCGGATGTACTGCATCCCTGAAACTTCGTAACAAGTTTTATTGCGTCGTCATTTTGTTCAGGTGAAAGTAATTGACATGCACAGAGCATGTGGTTTAATTGTGGGTATGTGCGGAGATGGTGGCAATGATTGTGGAGCTTTAAGAGCAGCTCATGCAGGCATTGCCCTGAGTGAAGCTGAAGCATCTGTAGTTTCTCCATTCACATCGAAAGACAAATCCGTAAGTGTTTCAACCTCAGAAGAATATGTTAGGAGACAGTTTTTTGAAGCTAACCTCGATGGCATAAGGTTATGCGACTGCTATGCAGTGTTCATATTTCTTGATTAGGAGTTCATATCTGTCTTCAAATAGGACGATCTATTACAAAATCACCGTAGCTTTTGATTTTTATTTGTTTATAATGATGTGAAATCATGAGCTAAGAAACAACCTTCTGATTAAAATTTCAGATTTTTCTAACAGTACCTTGGATACTTTCATATTAATATCTTTTCCGTATGACCCTTAGGCCTCACATCTCATCTTATCTTGAAATTTGCTTCGTTTCTGCCAGGTAGCATCTGTTGTTGACCTCCTACGAGAAGGACGTGGTGCTCTACACACGTCCTTTGCTTGCTACAAGTTCCTCATTATGTATGGTCTGATGTTTTCCATCCTCAAGCTCTGTTGCTACTGGTAACTTTTTTATCCACATTCAACCTACGAAAGTTTTAGATGTGTGTCGTGTGTTGGGTGCTCAAGTAATCTTTAAGCAGAAGACATGTTTATGCCAGTTCATTCAGCACATTCCTATGACATGCCTTTTTCTGCCCTTAGTTAAAACATGTTTATTAAGTCAGGGCTGTGTCTTATTGGATTCGTTAAATTGTCATGTTTTATATCGATTGTAACATATATAGGTCGTGCATACTTCAGAGAATTGTTACAGCCACTGTAGTAATTGTACCTCGCGGGTTGGTACTAAACAGTTCTTAGCATGTTAAGACCCTACGGTTGACCATTTACTACTTTATGTACATGGTCAACATCTTCTTATTTCAAGTGAAACTTTTGTAAAGATCCCGGAATGTTTGGAAACCTTTATTTACACGAAAAATTGTGGTTTCTCTACATACTATGGTAGTTTCATCCAAAAATATCACTTGTGGTCTTTTTTCATCTTGTTGTTTGGAAATTGATTGAAGCAAACGATGAAGTTTAAAACGTCCTGGGTCTTAGTTGAACCACCCAGACCGGAATATTATTCTGCCATGCATTTACTGATAAGTCTCTTTGTTTTACTAGGTATGGAATCATCCCCTGTCAGATGGACTACGTCTTTATCGATGGAGTGGCGGTTCTCAGTCTTGGCTATGCTATGACTCTTAGCTATCCCGAACGAAAACTTGGAAAGGTCATTATGTTCACTGCTGTGTTGGACTCACAACTGCATTTATGTTATACATTCATGGTGACCTGGACTGTTTTCTGGTGCCATTGAACTCTTATCATTAATTTATGCCCTCTAGCTTCGTGCTTTGTAAAGTATGCTATGTTTGCCAGCCATCCTAAAGGCACTAGCGGAACTTCCAAATTTCTTTTCCATGTGAAATCAATTCTAGCTGCGGGGCCTACGAGAATGAGAAATTGATTTGAGTATGTATTGGGTCATTTGATGCTATGCCAGATGCGGCCGACCTCAAGCTTAATCGGTGCAATGAATACTGGATCTATACTCGGAGTTTGGATTATCAACATAGTTTTCATGATTGGCGCTCTTTTGTTGATGAACAGGGAACCGGGTTATGTTAAGTGGCCAGCTAAGTAAGAAGAACGTTGTTTCATCAGTTACTGTGATGGAGTTTCAGTACATTTCAGCCAGTATATAAAATATTATTGAACTTTCAAATATATCATTAAGTCAAGCTAAGAATGGCAGATTTGAACATCTGTAGGTATTCACATGGTGCCGATTGGTGGACCTTGGGAGATAACTGGGAATCGACAGTTTTGTTCTTCACAATGTACTTTCAGTACATAACATCAGCTTTCGTATTCTCATTTGGTGCATCTTTTCGACGGAACGTTCTTTTCAATTGGTTTCTAACTGTAAGTAAAAATACCAAAGAAAGATATTGTTATTTACTTTTTCCTTCAAAAGGTTTTTCTCAAGTATGCAAACAAAGCTTGTACTAATTGCTTCAGCAATCCTCGCCTATCTAGATAAGATCGACCAGATTTCGTGACTATTAATTATCTAGCATCTCTTGAAGATAGATTTCAAACATTAGATATCTATCTTCCAGGGATTATTCATGATTCGAACCTCTCGTTGGTCAAAAGATGTGTTCCTATGCGCAACGTGTTCCTCTTTGAGTAGGCATTGTACATTCTAGATGTTTGGAAAATCTTAGTACCTAGATCTGTGATCCAAGTTCTTCGGAAGAGCAAATGTGGAAGAAACGTCCTCTGTCAACATTGGTCAGCAAAACCCTCCAGTTTGAGAAATCACAGTGGGATAACTGTACATATAAACATTCTACTTCTCGTGAGTTGTTTCAGGTGACATATTGGGGCCTGGTGGTCTTTATGTCGTTTCTTCTACTTCTGCCTCACAGTGGCTTCACAGAATTATGGCATGTCTCTAGCGAGCAGTTCAATTCACCAAATCCTATTTCACCTGTTTGGAGCATGTATCAGGTATCAACAGTGCATCACTCCCTCGAACCTCGGGGTATCGTTTGCTTTCAGTTGTATGTAAGATTAAAATATATAAGATAAGGCTTCAATGTTATGACAGGTTCCATTTTTTGCATGTGTTTCAGACAAACGGAGGTCACCCTTCACCAGAAATGTCTTTCAGTTTCAGATTCCGGTTATGGTGGCTGATAGTAGCGAACATCTGCACAAATGTGATCTGGCAAAAGGTGATGACCACTGATGCTTTTACCTTGAGAGTTAATTTTGAAGCACATGGACTTGCATTGGTGTGTCCAGATCTCCAATTTCCAATAACAGCTGTGTATATGTCTTTTTCAGGTGGTTGCTGAGGGCCCAGTAGCCAAGTATGTGGCTAAGACGTGCCCATCGATCCGACCCAGGTTCCACCTATGAAGTTTTGTAGCTTTTTCAATTCGAGCATTTCTACAAACAATGTACATTGACTGTGCTACACGTGGACCCCACAGCAAGATCGACGATGGATCCATTTAGATTAGAATTTTGTTACTCAATGGTTAAAGCTCAACTGTAGTTTCTTGTGGAGCAGTAGGAGGTAAGTTCCATATAGTTGGTTGGAAGGAAACATATGTACATATTGTTGAGTGGAAGGAAACAATCTACGGGCTAGAGTAGTCACCAACTGGGGTACGAGTTGGAAAAAATCGAGATATACTTATACATCCTCCTGAAGGGAGTGGCCAGCACAAATCCAATTGTGTAAAGCCGGATATCATAAGCTAAGTGATAATTGCGATTCAGTGAGAAAATTGATTGCCTGTGAAGGCTGAAGATGGTGAAAATCTTTCGTGGCAGAATGTTCTCAGCGATGGGATGAAGATATTCGAGAGTGCGACGACGGTTTTGAGGAAGTGATACCAAATGATAATGGTTAATAGTGGCCTCTAACAAATATCCCCGGAGATATCACTTCATGCTTTCCAGGCCCATTGCGATATTTACACTATCGAATGCTGCTGGGACAATATTTCTAAGATTCCTGACTTTACATGCTGTATCGTTTTAAAAACGGTAAACGAATATGCGTAGGATCATTGGCAAATACAGGGGCAGGTTCAGGAGGCAGCGGTGATATGGGCAGGTCAAAGTCTTCAGGCCTCAACGTCCAGAGTTGTTTCCTCAGTTGGATTGTCTGCATAGCTTTGACAACTGGACAGTGCTTTGCAGCTTTCTTGGCGATTTCTCCCAGCTGGAAGCTGACCAGAGAAGGACGAGCGATTCCCAGTTTCTCAAGTTTGCTTATTTCCTTCCTGTCTCCGACCACACTCTCGCAAGCAGGACAGACGTGCTGTCTCTCTCCAGTCTTGGCTAACAAATTTTTGCTCCTAGCTTCGACAGGTAAGTACTTCTGATCAGTTGCCAAGTGACCTCCAGAAAGATCCCACATGTCCACATCCGTGATGCTAATGCCCCTGCTCTGCTCGAACGTCTTGAAAGTCTTCCTAAACCTCCAGGGATGGGGCTGGATGTTCCTTCTGTACACGGGAGGAGGAGGTTTGACCTTCCCCAGGCAGGTGCTCAGAACCCCTCGAGCTAACACCTCCTTCGATTGCTGGTCCGTTACCTTAATGTTGGTCACTGCCACTTTCGTTCCGAACTTAACAACTCTTGCTTCCACTTCGGCTATATTCCCCTGCACGAGTGTACAAGACTTGTCATTCATGTCACTCTTTTGTGGAATTGTGGCAGATTAATTCAACTGGAAGGTTCATGGATACCCAGGAAGGCCCAGCTGCCATTGACAATGAACTTTTTAAGGAGAGTTTCGTGGCTGAGTGGGCCACGGAGCAAACTTACATACTGACGAGTTCGACAGAGGTAGTCAATAACCATCTCCCCTGACTTATGCTTCTGGAAGACTTGTAATAAACTCATCACTGCAGCAGTGCCTGCAATGTTGAACGCTGCTGCCGTGGCACCTGCATGCATCATGCAACCATGGTTCGTGTCCTGCCACAACGTCGAGCCTTAGACTATTGCACGTTGCTTTAGATCGACCAAAGACACTTTGAAGAATTCTGGATTTAATGTTGAGATCTAGAATCAGTATAAATCTTCGTCGTGTAGAAGCTCTCGAATTCTAGTTGGTAGTGGTTAGCCTTGTGTTTCAGGTAGATGGCTACTTCTCTTCTCAAATTGCTTAATTCTAGGTAGGTGGTCTCAACATTCTCGAGTCTTCTATAATCCAACTTCACCTACCTAGTTCCAAATCTTGACAACACTGGAGTTCAGCTTTACATCAGGCGTCATTTGATGTGATCTGATATTAGCATGAAGTCCTGATGCTATTATCACCCACAAAAGGGAGAAGAAGATCGTGTACCACAAGGTACCATTGCAGTGGAACTTTGAAGAGGTAATAACCGTTGCGATCAGATTCAATCAGTTCCATGGCTTCTGAGATCTTATGATAGAAACTACCTCCAACATCGAACTCAGTGTAATAAGGTATTCTGTGGCCATCAATCCAGAGCCACGTGCTCTCTTGGTCTCCATGCAAGGTCATGTCCGTGCTCGCAATGAGCGACGGACGAGAAGAATTGAGCATATACATTGCGAAAAGCCTTCTTCACTCAGCCTCACTGGCTCAATTCTGCAAATTAATTAGCTCCGCAATGTGCTTCCTGAAGCTCAATTTGCTCTATCTCTTCAAAATCGTCAAACTTCGAATGTCCAGATCAGTGCTTCCGAAATGTCAATCGTCGTAATACTGTCCTTGACTGCGCCGTCCTGCACTCCGCGGTGAAGATCCGAAGTCTCCGAGTCCGCAGAACTGAGCACATATGACAGAGTATCTCCTTCTGATCAGCCGGTAAAATCCCACAGATACAATTCCGCAGATGGCGAACATTTTGTCTACGCTCAGAAGCATGTAGCAGAGCTGTTGGAGGCACTCGAGACCGTAACTGCACCCGGACCCGGACTAGGCATGCAGCTTTCATGCTTCGGGACCTCCCCAACTTCTTCCGTTGGCAAATCCTTAACGAAATCAATCGGTGTCTGCCGAGAATTGACTCATTTGCAGCAGCAATTCGGAACTCTCGCGAACGAGCACCAGCGAACTCCCAATCCGACCGAGTCTCGAAGGGTCGGGCTCGCGCAGTAACGAGGTTTCGGGGCCCTTCGAGAAGCACAAACCGGACAAACCTCGGGGCCGAGACGAGAGTTGACAGCGCGGACGGAAATTTCGTTGTCCGCTCTGGGTTGACCGTTAGACAGAGCGTCTCCTGGACAGTCGGACATACCGAAAGGCAAGCTGCGGATTCTAACTGGCGTACCTCAACAGGTGTTCGAAAGGGGGCGCTGCGAGAGCGAGGATGCAGTAACTGCCAAATCATACTCAGTTTGCGGAAGCCAGTGGCAGCCACCACGTCGTCGTGAATGTAGCGAATTAACGGGAAGTGCTATTGGACTTATGTCGTTAATGTGATATGGAATTTACTTTCACTTATGTGAAAGTATTACTTGGATGAATCACATTTTCTTGGTGTACATTAACCTGTTCTCACCCCCTTTGGAGGAAAAGGGTGCTGGTCGCGGCGAATCGTGTGAGGATTCCAAGTGTATGTCCCTCGTGATGATGCACTCATGGGTCACCTGCGCCGTGAGCGCATTGTACTCAAATTTAGGCAGTGTATCCAAATTTAGAGATAAGTGAAACATTTAATGACTTGTTACAACAGTTATGGAGTTTTAAATAACTAATGAATATTACTTTTCATAGGTAAAACTAAGACTATACGGAGAATCTAGCTTATAGACCTTAGTTTGCATCGATAATCTTTTAAATCACTTGTTCTAAAGTCAATATTTTTCTGTAACAATGATAACTAACTTGATTTGACTTTACGTTATTCTCCAATAAATCTACGAGGAGATAAAGTAGAAAACAAGAATATAGTTACATATTTAAGCAATTAAAACTTATATAGTTTTAAATAAAGTAAATCATAGGTTATAAAGATTATTATCTACTGATAGTATATTCATTTTTTTATTGAAAATTATTTACATTTACATTTTAAATAATTTATAAATTAATTAGTTACTTTTGGGAAATAATTCCTATAAATTTTATATATTCGGACATAATTACCAAATTACCTTTTTCTTAACTCAAATTAATTAATTTGTTATCATTTTAAATTCAAATCTGCAAGATTAAAAGTTGTGATTATATTGTATTCATGAACATAGAATGAGCGAAACTTTTACCAATTAGAAAGCAATTAGATCTATTTTCATGATTTGGATGAGGTGAGATGAAAATAAAATATGAAGAAAAGTGATTTTATTTTGGCGATTAATCAAAAATAAAAAATTTAAAACTTTTTGCCAACTTCATATTGTTCTTTACTTTATCGGGTCATTCATCTACGATATAGATGAATCATTCAGTTATGAAATAAGTTAGGAAAATAGAAGTGTTTTTTTAGAAAAAAACACTCGCTTTACTTGTGCGAGGTGAACTTATTTTACCGGCATCTTTCAAATTCAAATTTTTTTTGAGATAAAACGGAATAAAAAATAAATCTTGTGAAAATCGGATGCTTTAGTATTGGTGTTACTAGTAATGCAATGTAGCTCAATCCCGTACTTGATATCTTTGATTTGATCTATTATGTCAACTAACTTGTATAATATCTTGGAAAGAAGAGAAAAACAGGCAAATTTATCCAAAATGAATGTGGTTTCGATTATGATATAAGAAAAAGATATATCTAACTCACTTTGAAATGCACAGAAAAGCTAATGGAACCTAGATAAACATGAAAGCAGAGATCAATTTCAACTTCATTGATATCATAGATCAACAAAGAATGATCAAATTGATCAGCGGAGTTTGATAATGAATAATGTACTGGACAATCCAGTTAATCACATAAAAATTAGAAAAACTTGATGTGATTATTTGTCACGTGCGCATCTCAAGTGATTTCCTCACAATATGAGTGATGTAAAGAGGTAATAACACATCCGACATACATAATCAGTCATTTTTATAAAATATTCTATGAGTAAAAAATAAAGTCATAGTTACACGCATAGAAGAAGAAGAAGTTTGCATGTCAAAACTGCACCCGCACTGCACACCACCTCACATGGAAAACTATAAAATCTCAAATACACAGGACATTATTATCAGACAACCACAGTTTTCCATGTTTGATTATTCGAATAAACGCAGGGGAAGGAAGAAATAAGAAATAAAAACGTAAACTATGTGTAAAGATTTTGACTGATTTGAGATAATCAGTCAAAACCTCAATACCTTCCGTTTCACTTCTCCCCTCGTGTCGGTACTGCATAGATGAATGTAGAACAGAATCGCATGTAAAAAGGCGGGAGATGCTGTAAAAGTTACGTCGAGGGGCCGTGGTCGTTGCTGAGTAAGTCCTGGAGCTGACACTGTGAGCTTGATCTAGCGAACGGCTACATACTCAAATCTTCAAGATGTGGAGTGGAGGCAAAGCGCGCCCCAGTTCCTTATTGAGCACGCCCTCATGCGAGTGAGAGCATTGACCGTTGTGTGAGAGGTCACCAACCCGGAGGACGGGCGAACCACAGCTCAGAATCTACTACAGATTGTGAGCGCTTTCACCTCCAAAAGCCTCGAGCAAATTGGCGCCGATGAATCTTGGGTAGGCTGTGAAATCGCGAGCGTCTCAGCCGCCATGAGAAAGATGAAAAAGTTGCTCCACTCAAGTAAGCGCTCAGAATCTGCGGTGCGACAGTGTCCCGAGACAGAGAGAGATCGTATAAAGATGATCGCTGTTTCACCCGAATAGTGATATGGAATCTGGCTAGAGACAGGGAGAGAACCCGGAATGATCCTGTTGTCGAACGGCTATACATACAGAAGAGAGGAGACGTAAGTGAGGGCGCGCTATCCTTTGTCTTTTTGAACCTCTGGAGTATCGACTGCCGGGTTTGATTTAATTGCAATGTTCGACTTTTTTTCATTCCACTCAGCAGGAGGCAAGATAACAACACACCGCATCTTTACAGCTTCCCTCGATGTGGGGAATCAGCACTGGACGTGTGTTTTCTCTGAGAATGTGCAGATGGCGCTTGCTGCCAAGATTCATAGATACATCGACACCAACTGTTTCAAGAATATCCGAGGTGTGCACTTCATAAGGGTAGGGTAGGGTTGTGAGGTTGATGTTTTATCTCACTGGTTGAACTTGATTGATTTGGCGGTACCGCCAAGTCTACTGGTTATCGGTTCCAATTTACTTCCAGTTCGATTATGCCGCACGTCTGCATATGTCTTCTTCATTGGAAATTGTTTGCATTAACCTCAAGAAAAAATTCATGCTCCATATCGGCAGGATAAAAACAATTGATAAGATTAAGATAAGACTTTTGTTCCAAATTTTGTATATAGTGGACTAACATATAATGTATATCTATTATCTCTTACAATATATCACTTAACTTGCAAATCTTGAAATATTTCTAACTCGACAGTTTCTAATATTTCTAATTCGACATGTCACTTTTAAAGTTACTTGTTGATTAAAATTTTTTAATGAAATTTATCCTCTGTATCTGGGAAAATGACCAGTACCACTATTTTTTAATCTGGATAGAACAATACACCCAGTGATATTTTAATATGTATATTGGTATAATAATTGACATTAAAACCACTTAAACAGAAGACAGGAATATTTTATTTTTCTAATCAATGGAATAGATACATCTCGCTTGTTCACACATGCAAGACTTAGTAAATATATGAATTAAAATCAGCCATACCTCTAGACTCAGAACTTGTACCTCTTGAGGTTTTGTTGAACCTTGGTTTAGTCATCAATTCTACTCTCTTCAATGTAGAACGGTCCATATATTTTTCCCGTGGAGTTCTTGTGATGTTCACTATCCGTGGGAGGAATGGCATTCATGGCAAAGTGCTGCAATGCATTCACAAATTCGTTTCCGGTTGAGTACGTTGATATTGCAATCGGAAGAAATGGGCCACGCTTTGCTAATAACTGGGTCTTAGTACCTAATCAAAGCACATCTTCCTTACGATATTGTAGAATGGTATAATACATATTAATAACACTCTAGGGGTGTGAGATGACTTTTCCCTGTCCGTATATTCAGTGGTCTCACTCAGCTCTCTATAATTAACAGTAGGGTAGTTGTACGGTCTTTAAGCACCGGTAGGTATACTTAGACCTATGACCTGTGGTCTGCTGTTCAGACCAAGAGACTAGTCCCGGCCATAACTCATAATACGTATACGCAACTTGACCAAGGTAGAAGGCAAACCTGAATCAGATCTCCCGAAGCGAAGGTCGCCTACGCGAACATTGCGTTGGTCCATGTTGAGTTTCTCAGTTGACTTCCCAAAAAAAAACACAACCATTTATTCCATGTTGCTGGAGCATAAAACATCACGCCGCTCAGGGCCCTAGTGGAGGGACAAAATCTCACATGGTGGGGCTTTGCTTGACCTGGGGACGGAATGATTCTTTGTAATCCGGTGGGCAAACACGACAACGGTAGAGAATTTCGAAAGACAAACGGCAGAGATTCATATGGAATACTGTAGAGGACTCTACTGCCGCAATTCTGGAGTTCGAGATATGAGGATGGCGCTTTTTGGCAGACATCAAGCGATGCGACTGATGTTGAAAGGCTGGCTACTGATGTTGAGTGGCACGGAGTTACTGCTGAGCTCGGGTGTCTGCTCCTTCGTGTCGATGGGGAGGTTCAAGGCAGGGAGGTTGATGCGGTCTGAGGTCAAGGGAGATGAAGGAAATGTTTGGACAGGCCAGGTGTGTCATCGTGCTGCATGGACCCATACGGTTCACCAGTGGTGAAGTACCTGCTTCCCTTCCCACATATTGTGACAGACAGAATGGCTTTAAAGTGAGTCCATGAGTGAGAAATCTGTAGCTGACTTTCACTGCAAAAGTTTGGAACGAAAATCACCCCTACTGTGCTCCCTTAAATTAGTCAGATGAGTTCCCATCGCTCGTGACGGTATCCCCATCTAAATCCAGATATGAAGCGTCCACAAGTGGGCTACTCTTGCCCATCTTCAAGCTTGCACATTCGAAGGCATGTATGGAATAGTTTATCTGAGGGATAGCATGGAAAAAGGCTCTCTCTGCGAGGTCAATGGATGTTTAGCTTGCTCTTGGTCACTGATAGTCAACTCTTGAAACTGTGCATAAGACTGCTGGTATGCGTCACGAGACTTAATTGTCTGGATCCCTTTTGCATCTTCTCAACTTTATAACTCCCGGCTACAACTTGTGACAATCCATATCATGTCATTCTGTGCCAACGCAGAAGTGACATTGTGTGAAATATCTTCGTTTCTTCATGAGAATATGGAGGTTAATAGGTCGAAAAGGCAACTGAAAACTGGTCCCAATAATGCTTTATGTTTCTAAATATTCTGAGAAGACACCTGAAAATATTCTTGGTCGTTTCAAGTATTCGCTTGCAAGCCATAATTGCGAAGTGTTGACAGCACAGAGAATTAGATAGCTACAGAGAACTGTGCAATTCCGTTTCCCTCGGACTCGCAAGGTGTTTCCAATGATTAACACTGTTGATTGCAGTGCAGCAGTGCCCTGGACGTGTAGTGTACATTTCACTTTTCAGGCCCTGTCTGTCACCTTGTGCAGGAGCGGCCGAGTCTTCTCCCTAAGTGGCAAAGTATTCTGATGGCTCTCGAGACAAAGGGCAGCCTTTTCCTATTTCTTTGATCATGGGCGAATTCTGATTACGTACCTGGCTGGAAGGAATATTTTTCTTAAGGTGCTGGCTCTAGCATTCGGTCAACAGAAGCATTTGGCTGCCTGATTCCTCCTCCAAGCACTTGCAACTTAGGGTCTCGGAGTGGTATCTCTCTTAAGGTCTCAGGCGGGCTGTCTTCCAGGGTGCGATTGCTTCTCATCGAGACTTTCGAGTTAAGGCTACTTTTGGGAGCATCAACACTCCTGATCAGCTGCAACTGGTCCTCGATTGTAGAGAAAATTGGGCGCACTGTCATCAATGGTTCAGATTTTGGGAGCTTGAGAACTGTACTACTCTCCGAAGTCCAATTGGGGTCCTGGGTCTCATCGTCCTAACGCCGGTACTTCAATGTGCTGAGTTGTTGTCAAGGCTGCAATTTCTTCTCAAGAGAGCTTGCCGGTGCTGTGAAATTTTTAGAGATCGTTGAATTTCTTCGGGATGACTCTTGAAAGATCATGATCAGTCATGGCGTTCTGTAGGACGGATCGATTTTAGTGGCCTTCCAAGTTTTAGATTTTGGAGTTGATCTCCCGCATGTCTTCAGCCTTTCACAGAGGAGTTAGCATTGCAATTTTCGTCGTACGCCGTATCGTCGCCATCTCGGTCGAAACAAATCCACTGCGCAGGAGCTAGCGGCTGGTCAGGAAAAGATGCCGAAACCGTCGAGCTGGTTATCATCCCTCAGAAAGGCAATTCAGCACCATGTGAACGACGACATAGATTACTCGAGATTTCAGCACCTCCCGCACGAGAAGAAAGCGAGCAGGAGCAACTCGGCGTCATCGAACCCGCCCAGTCCGGCCATAGCGAGATCGACCAACAGCAACGGCGCCGGCGGAAGCACGAGGAGCAACCGGAGCACCAAGAGCGACCGGAGCGACAGCAGCGCTGCCACGAAGGAGTTCTTCCCCGTGAGCGAGAAATGCAAAACCCCGCAATCGCCCGCCGACGATCGTATGAAGAAGAGGCCGTCCGTGGCGGTGGCGGACGTCTCCGCCATCGTCCGCAGCACCGGCGGAGCCGCCGGTGTGCGCCGGATGCTCGAGGAGTGGGCTGCCATCACAATTCAAACGGCGTTCCGCGGCCTGTTGGCGCGCCAGGCGCTCAAAGGCCTCAAAGGCCTCGTCCGCCTGCAGGCGCTGGTGCGCGGCAATTTGGTCCGCCGGCGGATGCACGCGTTGGTTCGAATCCAGGCGCGCGTGCTGACGCGCCGGAGTCGACCGCCCAAGTACGTGTCCAAGAGCGTTGACAGCTACCCGGTGAAGCCGAAGCAGCTGTCGGGCAATTTGGTGTGGCACTCGAGGGACGAGTGGGACTACGGCACGAACAACATGCACCTGGCCACGGTGCCGGCCGACGCGACCGACAATCCCAAGGTCAAGAAGCAGCTCGAGGAGGCCAAGCGGCGCGAGCGGGCGCTAGCCTACGCCGAGCAGCTGGCCGCGCAGGCCAAGGACCGGCAGGACGCCACGTCGAAGCGGGAGCGCGCGCTGGCCTACGCGCTGCTCCTGACGCTATCGAATGACGGCAAAGAATTGGACGGCGACGACTTCGCGGACATGGAATACGCCGTGGGCAACATTTACTGATTTGAACATTTCATGGCGGACCGTCGCTCTCTACCTGTAGTTGTCTGAAGATTCGATGGCTGGCGACTGGCGCCCGATCGAGAATCGAGAACATTTCCAGTTAGGCGAAGAAATTGATTTTTTCCATCGGTTCAGTGCGGCTCTGCGTCGGAGGAGCTGCCGGACTGATGACAATTTGTTCGGATCTAGCTCCAGCTCCAGCCTCTGGCTCTGGCTGGGTTCGGTGGAGCTGCGGCTGCAGGTGCAGCTAAAAAGGCTGGAATGCACGACTCGAAGGGAACGGAACGAGAGCTCTTTCCAACGGCGAGTACTGCACCGCTGCTTTGACGGATGACGGGTCGCAGCAAGTGATCAGAAATGTATATTACTGAATGGACATCACTTGCTGGCATCTTGGATGGAGGTTCTCAGTGTTTCAGGGGTGTCTCAGGTGTTTCGCTTTCCCGACAAAGGAGGTCGAATTCCTGCTACTAGCACGAACATTATTCATGTTTTAGCTCTCTACTCGTCTGGACCAACAATAAAATCTGTGTCTTGATATTAGAATGTACAACTCGTACATACCAATGTTCACTGAGTGCCCATCTGGGATAGTCCGACCATCAACCATCTTGATAGTCATGAGTATATACCTCTCGGTCGCTGAACTTATTAGCCCTTCTCAATTTGAAGGTAGACATTGCGAACCAAACCAATTTTTTCCCAAGCTAAAGAGCCATTCCTTTGTGTAGACAAATCTTCTTTCTCAATGTAGGTCACGGAGTAGTGCCCGTTTTGCAGCACCACGAAATGAGTAGACCCCACTCAGCCAATTTAGTGTTTATCCAGGACATTTAGAGAGCCTCTGTTCTTTTAGAGTTCACTATTTTCACACCTCTGTACATGCTTCTGAATACATGTAGATCTGTAGAATTTGATAGCTTTGTCCGGCCTAATCCTAGTGGAAGGCTGTCTAGGACAAAAGTTTCATTCTTCACAGTTATTAGGAAAGCGTTGATGAGCATATGCGTATCGAATCTGGCATCTTTCTTTGAATCTGCCAGGATTCGCACCCTCGAAAGTTGGAGAGATTGACGAGAAGATCCAATTGGGCATAATATCTCCAAGTTTTGGTTAATGGTGATGTGTGGCTCCATTACAGTCTCTTCAGCAAGATGTGCTTTGAATTTCGTCGAAGGTGGTGGTGACCTTAAAGGTGGTCTTCCCATCCTTTTTGCTACATTACTCGGTTCCTTACTGCAACCTTGAACATCTGGACAGGATGTTAACTTCAGATAACCTCATACGTCTCTTAGTTTAACTTCACAATTGAACATAGCTTCAGTTCTATAACATCAAGTCTTGAGTTCGCGCGGATCTTGAGACACTACATCAAAATAACCGCAAAGAAAAGCCGTCGCTATCTTCACTACTTCTTGTAAGTCCGACCACACCTGTAATGAGAAGTTCTTTTTCATACTTGAGTTGAACGACCAATTGGCGGACCCCATCTCTGCCTAGAAAGAGATGCCACTGTTGTTTCTTGACATCGATGTGCAAATTTATTTGACAAAATTGTCCACCATGCAAGCATTATGGGGAAGAAGGATTGGCTTTTTCTGCTTCCTTCCGATTGCAGATGATCTCGACATAAATGTCAGCACTGTGTATTTGTCCTTGAGAGGAGATGGAGAGGCGTGGAATAGAGAATGGGATATCTTAGAAATGTGGTTATATCATCCAATGAGTGTCTCCCACGAGAGCTGTTTGTAAACTGAAGACATCGGATGAGAACAAGTTGTCACGACAAGCACCCAGTGTTGCCACAGTTTCCGTTGGTAGCTAGGTTGAGGATGTACTTGCTTGGTGTGAGAAAGATACTCTACACTCTCTTCTTGATCGGTTTCGAAGCAGAGGTGATTTAGATCGTATAAGGTTCAAGATGAGCACATTGTACATCATGTGATATAGATAGGATTGGAAATGAGCACATCGTTTTCCTTCCTTCCGTGCCCCATATATTTAAATGATAGATGTAAACATAGTGTTGATTTCTGCATATACTTCAGTGAGGATCACTCTTATCAGGTACACAGGGATATACTCAAGTTGTAGGAGGTTTGCCATTCAAAGCCATTTCGATCGTCTCATTTCGCCATTTAGGTCTGTACTAGACTATGTGTACTTGTTATATGTTGAGTTGACGCATTTTAACTTTTTGGAACTTCGGGGCTTCTAAAGTTTTTATATTTTTACTGTCCACTGCTTCACCCGATACCATTCTCAGGTTGCTTAGGAATATACTCTACTTGGAGAAGTTTCCTCTTGTGGAACAGCCAACTGAGAAACGTCCACCGATGCCAAGTACCTCCACCGCAGAACCATCGTGCAGAGATGCAGGTAACATCTCAGATAACGTCATAGAGCTGGTTAAACGAATTACTGTGAGCACAACGGACTCATAGTGTCTGGAGCTGTTAGCTGGAAATCGCTAATATTAGACACGGGGACTTCGGCATTCTGGAGGACGAGAAAATCCCACCTTCCAACGGAGTGCTGTGCTGATGTAAGACGTGCTTCTCGGCGCACAGAGTGCCCTCACGCATGATGAAGGCAACATATCGGAAGCCAAAAAAGCCAAAGGGACTCAAAGTGACATCCATGGGCCGTTTGCAGCCATAACATTCTCCGCTCCTTGGAAGGCTGACTTCAAACGAACCACACGTGCATTCGAACACCCCAGCTCGTCATCGTTACCAGCAGACATCTTCGGATCATCCACCAATCTGAAATTACTTATCCTCTTGAGGCCTAAACGACATCAACATAATTGATGATCGGCTCACCGAAAGATGTGTAGTTAATTAGCTACCTTGACTCCCGATAATTCTGAAGCCCTAGTGAAATTTTCACAAATGCATAAACGCATAGAACTTGTGAATTGCTTTTCCTACCTCCACCGTCGTTTGCTCTGGATAGGGTCGGTGATTTCTGCTGTTGCTATATTCATAAAGCTATGGTCAGATGTCTGCAAGACAGGCACACTGTGTTACTTTGCCCACATCCAAGAGGAAGGAACAAGAAGCGACTACGAGCAACGGTTGTATGAGTTTATTCAAGTGGGTCGACAATAAACACTGTAGTTGCAATAGTCCATTGCTCGGTTTAGGTGTGTCGTTATTCCCTGAAATCATAATTTGGTGAGGATGATTCAAGTCTTTCTTTCCAATGAGTTGGCTTCACAGTATATAACTCATTTACAATTTATTGTTTTGCAGTTCTTGGATTCTGTATACAAGAGGTAACTTCGAGCATAAAAGACTCGAATAAGTCTTTGAGATAACTGCCTTGAATTCACGTCATCACTCTTTATCAGCGAAGATCCGCTTACAATCTCGCTGGAACTCATGTGAACATGTACAGTAAAAACCGAATCAGATATGATATGAATCTATATACTTCTTGCAGCTAAAATCTTTCGAATTGATAATTTCGCATATATATGAGTGTCCATCGGCAGCAGGGATGTTGGATTTTGACTCCTTTGCTAGGTGCGGACATCAAGATACAGATGAGAGAGTTGCTCACGCTAGAGAATATTTGGCAGCACTGGGATATTCAGGTAGATTCTCCTAGCTGATCCCACACCCTGTAATCTTTCTCAGTGTAATGAAACATAAAAGAGTGGACAACGTGTGTCATCTTCATCTGAAACATGTCGAGGAGTATGAGAAACACAAACACACATTGGTATAATCTGCCTGATTCCAGTTTGTAGTGTCGATTCGTCTTCTGTTTTTCAGCAATGTTCAGGAAAGTCAGATACTTGCGACATGCTGACATATATCCCCTCGATTCGCTTCGTCTTCGAAATGTACGTCAGCGTCAGCAGGTTGTTGTCAGTAAACAATTTCTCCTTAGGTGACATCGGCTTTCGTGTGAATCTTCGCATGGCCGACGAAAGTTCCGTTACAGAAAATCGTATCGCCGCGAGGAACTTGGGGGTATGTACTGTGTACAGCTATACGGACTATAGTTGACAGTGTGTTCATCCTACGGAGTGCGCGGGGAGCGAAAGAAGGCCCTGAAAGGCCTTGTACAATGAAGGCACGTAGTGCTCTCGACCCGAAGATAATGGCACAAATCGGGGAGATTATTGAGCCCTGCGGAAATCGAAGGCTCAAGGCAGCAGTCCAAAGGACACTGTACAAACCAAAACTGTGGTGTTGTTTTTGTAAACATGACTTTAGCTAGTTTTGTTTTTTCCTATACTGAGGCTGGACTCGAATTTGGTCCATAAGACGGATATGTTATGGAGGACGGTAAGCCGTTCAAGTCTTAGTTTTATGTGTTTGTCCCTCAAAACCACGTTATTACTGTCCCACGTAATGAGTTTGAATCCACAAAACTAATCCAAACATATTCTTCACGTATCAGAAATATATATTTTATTATTATTTGTGATTTACGGAGTATCTATGGAGATAACACGGGTTTCTATGCTCTTGTGAATCACTCTAATCATTAGAGTGATTCCCAACATTAGAGTATAATGTTGATCTCTCAGGGATTCGGAGAGTAGTTTATGAGTCAGATGAATACTGATTGCTGGAGATAAAGCTGTGGTATCAACTTGCATGATTCTCTTCTTCCGAGAAGTGTGGTTAATATTAAGATTTATGCTAAATATGTTGCAATTTCCTTGTTATACTGAAAAGAAGTAATCAAATCATCAGATTTTTTTTTGCCAATTCCATCACTAGTTTAGTAAAAGAATCTGGAAAAGAATCAATGAAGCTGGTCACAACTTACTTAACATCCTTTTAGTAGTAAAGCTTGTCATTCGGTACTGCAATTGGCAATGTTCTCAACGGGTGTGACTTTAAGACCTAAAGTGACTTTTCTACCATAAGGCGACCTCGGCCTCATTGGTGCCTATTAAATTAGGCTTAGCCTTAAGCTTTGTTTTGAATATCGAGACTCAAAAAGTGTAAAATTCATCAATGGCTAATAATCCACAAAAGTGTGGATTAGGGTAATAAATGAAAACTAGATCTTGAGAATATACATTTTCATTCGCTACTATGGCTATTAGTATATCTATGCTCATAGTCTCAACGGCCACTGTGACCCTAAACTCCCCACCCTTCAGCGTTTGTAGTCCAAGTGGGGGTTCGAGCTCCCATAATCTAACTTCTCTGATCTCAACCATATGGTCAAAGTGTATTCAAGACAATGAGATCATAAAAACTTGCTCTTTCACAGACAAATTATCCACAACTGAAAATAATAACTTGCTGTCTGCTATCTCCACAAGAGCAGCAGACAAGCTCTTTGTTACATTAAGATCTAACCCAACTCTGGGTGACTTTCTCAATACCACAGCCGCTGTGGTCTATCCTAGCTCCGAGTTCCACTCCCAATTCCTACTCAAATTTCAGAGTCAATTTCTCAGCTTCCACCTTCAGACCCCACCAAATTCCTCTCTCAGATTCCACTCTCCCTTTTCAGTTCCAAATTCAGATCCCGACTGTTAGATTTCAGTCTCAGATTTCGCTTCACTCACAGCTTCCATTCTCAGGTCTTCCACTCTGATCTCCACTCCCACTCACAGATTACACTTCAATCTCAGATCCCACTCACAGATTACACTTCAATCTCAGATCCCACTCACAGATTACACTTCAATCTCAGATCTCACTCACAGATTACACTTCAATCTCAAATCCCACTCACAGATTACACTTCAATCTCAGATCCCACTCACAGATTACACTTCAGATACGACTCTCCACCCACGGGAGTTTGCTTCCTCCTACTTCGAACACTCCACACTCCCCTCCTAATTCTCACCACTTCCCTGCGAAAATCACTCACGTCCACACTCTATTCCTCTTACCGATCCCACCAGCGTCTCCACACAATGGCACACCACACGATCCCAGCTCGCAGGCCGAATAATCCTCTCCAACGTCCAAGGGCCGAGTCATCCACAGCTCGCGTGAATGCCGTTCCCGCGATGATGGGCAACGGCTTGATTCCCATGTGCGACTTCATGCCCCGCCGTCCCATTTCCACGCCTGACTTCACGCCACCGCCACTGCCACACCTGTACAGTCTTTATTTATGACCACGTCAACATCCGCCATTCGAAATCTTCTTCCGCGCACCGCCGAAGGCATCCTCCCGCTGAAGACACTCTTCCGCACCTTTGCCTATCTATAACAGTCACCCCAACGCCCATAACTCACGGATCCCTGTTTCGTTTGAAACGTTCTTGGGCTTGTTGGAACAAGCGTGTTGTGCTCTTTCCAACGAGCCCCTAATTAAGTCAAACCGATAAGAATTAAGAAAGTTATGACGGTTTTACTCTTCCGCCGAAGGCGTTTGCCTATGCACAGGCGTCCTACACGCAAGCCGCCTACTCGCAGGCGTCCGCGTCCTACACACAGGCCGCCTTGGGCCGAAGGCCCCTCTATATGTTAACGCCGAAAGCCTCTCGCCTAACCATGACAGCCGCTTTCGACGCTCATAACTCAGTGATAACTGATCTGTTTCAAGAGAACTTGATCTCGTTGGAACCAGCGCGTCGAGTTCTTTCCAACGAGACCCGAATCAAGTCAAACCGCTAAGAATTGAAAAAGATATGCCGGTTTTATTGCTTCGCCGAAAGCCTGCAACCGCTGAAGGCGTTCGTCTGCGCATAGTACAAAAGTCGAACTCCCTTTTGCGTAGGCGGAATCCCCGGCGGAGGCGAACTCTTTCTGCCGAAGGCGAACATCTATGTATCTTCCGATAGTCATAACTCCCTAAGTCTTCATCCGTTCCAAGCGTTCTTGGGCTCGTTAGAACGAGCGTGTGGAGCCCTTTCCAACGAGACCCTAACCAACGCAAAACGTTAAGAATTGAAAACGTTATCATGATTTTACCCTTCCGCCGAAGGCGTTTGCCTATGCGCAGGCCGCCGACGCGCAACCCGCCGAAGGCCCTCCATATCAGAAACTTCCGCCGCTCCTAACTCGGTGATGCCTCATCCGTTTCAAGAGTTGTTGGTCTTGTTGGAACGAGCGTCGCGAGCTTTTTCCAACAAGACCCTAACCAAGGCGAGTCAAGGCGTCACACATTGAAAACGTTATGAGAGTTTCACTCCTTCGCCGAAGGCCTTTTCCCGAAGGGACTTCGCCGAAGACCTTGCCCCGAAGGCCTCCTTCCGCACCTCTTGCCCCCTAACCATCACACCAACTCCTAATCTTGCAGAAACTTTCAGAAAACCCAAGCATAATTTTGCAAGAGCTTAAATCAAAACTTTTAACTCTCATAAGGGTAAAAAGACATGTGAGCACAGTTTTGTGCTCACAGCCACCTATTTGAAAGTCAGCGTATTTGGCTGAACTTTAAAATCTTCTTTACGCGAAGGTGACAAGTCGAGTGTTCGTGTGGAGATTTCAGATTTCAGACAATTTCAGATTAAAAGAAATCTTTTATTACATGAAGTTTATTGGAAAGAATATGTTCTTTTAGAAATTAAAGACTTGTGATGACTTCGATTGAATATAATTTCCAGATATTTATTATTCAGTGTCTAGGGAGATAATAGAGATCTAAATTATCTGATGGAATTCCTGAATTAGAATCCATTCAAAAATTCTATTATCAAATTTGAATACAAGCCTTTTTAATATTTATTTTTTTACGTCTATAATCTAATTTTAGTTTCTTTAAAAACTCAACGTTTTATTCTCGAATAAACAGCTTGGAGGGCACAAGTGCTGTTGAAAAATGACAAGTGGATGAATAAATAAACCAATATTGGAGGATAAGATTTATATTCTCTATCTGACAATTTCTTTAAAAGTTATGAAGTTAAAGATTTGTTATGTCAAAGTTTTTGAATTAAACATATAGCTGTCACATCCTCTCTGTCAGTAGCAAGTCAGAACTTTCAATGTCAACACTTGAGCAGAGACGTTACTTTTATTGACAAAAATTAAAAATTCTTCAAAGTGCGAACATCTCCATCAGAAATTTGGGTTTTTATGACAATTCCTGCTCATAAATTTTTTCATATATATTCATTTCAGGAGCAATAATTAATATATACATATATTTCTTTCTTTCTTTGTGGTTTCACCAAGCATTTGGTGTAGCGCGATGAATCTTGGATATGCAGTAAAGGTTCCGAGTCTGCTTGGACCCATCGAATCTGTTGACATCCATTTCGTCCTAAAATAGTAATATCTGTAGTCAGAACTCGTAAACTGAAAAGGCATCCATAATGCGCCTTAGACCCAAGGTGTGCTTTATTGCCCTAGTCTGAGCTCGCGGGAAAATTTACAACTCTTCGTTTCGTACTTGGACATAATGACATATTCTTAGAGGAGTGCAGATAGATAAAGGTGTATATTCCTCTACATCCTACATTAACTCGTGTATTCCTTGGAGATACTAAAATAGTCTAGATCCCTATGATATACTAAGCAGGAGGAAGTATGACCCATATCCAGCTGAGAACAAAAGGACATAATGACATATTCTTAGAGGAGTGCCGATAGATAAAGGTGTATATTCCTCTACATCCTACATTAACTCGTGTATTCCTTGGAGATACTAAAACAGTCTAGATCCCTATGATATACTAAGCAGGAGGAAGTATGACCCATATCCAGCTGAGAACAAAAGGACATAATGACATATTCTTAGAGGAGTGCCGATAGATAAAGGTGTATATTCCTCTACATCCTACATTAACTCGTGTATTCCTTGGAGATACTAAAACAGTCTAGATCCCTATGATATACTAAGCAGGAGGAAGTATGACCCATATCCAGCTGAGAACAAAAGGACATAATGACATATTCTTAGAGGAGTGCCGATAGATAAAGGAGTATATTCTTCTACATCCTACATTAACTCGTGTATTCCTTGGAGATACTAAAACAGTCTAGATCCCTATGATATACTAAGCAGGAGGAAGTATAGTATGACCCATATCCAGCTGAGAACAAAAGCTCAACCTGCGCAAGAAAAGCCCTTGGGAAGAGGCTTTTGGCACAGCGTCGGAAGTGTCATGGCCACAGGCACGTTGATGTCAAATCCTGTAGTCGGTACGGACAACAGTGCACAAATGCAGACTTCGCTCAGAGTGACGACGATCTTGCAGCACTGAGAGGTCGGCGCGGGTGGCTTCGAGCCCGTGATGGCCGCAAGACACGGAAGAAGCCGCATCATATCTCCACATGGAGCCGCACCAACTTCATCTCCCCCGTCGTCGTCGTTGTTGTTCTCCGCCAGTGCTCTCTCCTCAAAATATTGCGATGTCGCATCAATTTTCGCATCCCTGAGCTCCTTCTCGGCCGCTGCTCTCCTGTTGTAGAAATCCGAAGCTGCTTCTGCCGATGGAGTGCAGATCTGCAGTATTAGGAGGAGCAGAATGGCACAGGCTGCTTCAAGGAAGTGGTTCATGCTGGTGAGTTTAGTTCCAGCCATAGCTCCAGATCGCAAAGACTTCTCACCCCTTTCAAATGCAGTCCAAGCAAGTTCCAGCATTGACGCGGTGTCATGCGAGTGCAGGTTTATATGGAACGAGTGGGGCTTTCCGTTGTGTTACAATGTGTGGGAGTCATGCAAGCTAAACCGTTTGAGAGAGCGCCATCGGTCGTGCTCTTCTACTTGAAATTTGAAATATTAACAAGCCGATGGTGTTTGAGTCAACGCTTGTTAATCTTGCGTGGAGACGAGCATGACTACATCATCTTGTTGCTACTTGAAGCATCGATACACATGTGATCTACAATAAAGTTCAATTCTTCACTACTGTCACTGAAAATGATTTAATCATGATAATCCAAGCGGGAACATGTAACAATTGTAAGGGAAACTCTCAAATTTTATATATTATTCACAAGATTTTGAAGGTGTTGTGATGAGAATTGCAGGTGTAAATTTAGCAAAAAAACTGTAAGAATATGGCTGTAAATGAATACTCCCGTATTCACCAATAGTTGAAAAGGTTATTCAAAAGGTTTCATTCGAAGCTGATTGGGTGGACAATTGAAGAAATCAAAGTTCTCGTGGTGTTATATTACATTATAAAATTCTTGACGTGGAGAGCATGAAATCCTTAACAATTTCAAATTACAACGATTTCACTTCAATTCACATGCAATTCATGAAATCCATAGATATTCGTGCAATGAAATCTTAACTCTAAATGAGCTTTCTTTTGTTCAATGAATGACCTTCCACTAACATTCCAAGGGTTAACAAACTTAAGCAACTCAATCTCAATCGATAATTATACAGACTGTATTGTAAAACATTTATGTCGATGGGTTTGAGAATCTTCTTTCTTTAAAACTATTTGCTTGTTTAATGGCTACGGATAGGGCTATGGTGACTGTACATTAGTCAAACTGAGGTCTCCCTTCTACAGATAATTGATTATTAAGTGCATTTTATGTATCAGCAATTGCAAGTTGACCTTCATAAATCACACACCAGCCTTATTGTTGATTTCAGGAGAATAAAGTACAAGACTGAGATAATTCAATGTATCCATACATGAAGAATATAAATTCTAAGATGAACGGGAATTAGGACGCCCTTATCCGAGTTGATTGGTCGAATTCTGCTTGCAGATAAATGTTCAGAAATCTGGTTTGAGTGCTGCTAAGATTACTCCAATATTGTGATCACTATCAATATTGTAAACGTCCTTGACCTTGCCATATGCATTTGTACCAGTGTACATTGTCAAGATGCTGCGTGACCTCACTGCATGTCATACTCCAACCAAGAGAACCACAAAGATCCAAAGCAGCGTTATTATACCCTTTCTCACACTTTGCGCTGCAGTGGTTGTTTGGTGCTGTCTGTACACAGTCGTTAGAAATCTTGAGTTCTTTCCCAACGAAGAAAGTAGCTTCAGCGGGTTTACAGTCTACTTAGTCTTCCATGATTGCGCCAAATAGAGCTAGCACAACTGTTTGCAAAAAGCAAACCGAGGTTTATTGATTTCTTTCTCAAACCTTTGCTGAATTAAAGAATTTCTTGAATGAAAGAGTACATTCTCACTAGAGCGAATCAATTCAACATATTGAAATTAGACATTAGCGCAGTCACGGATCAATGTTTCGAAAGAAGCAGCAAGATAGAGAGTTCTAGGTCAATGTCACCGATCAAATGAGTATGAGCATGCAAATCCTTTGAAAATTGATTGAACCAGTTTTGCTAGAAAACATCACTCGATGGTAGAAACATATATCCACCAGCTGTACTACATTTCACTGTGTTTTACAGATAAATATCTTATCTATGCAATTACCTAGTCACAAGAGTCCAAATGATTGCAAGTGCAGCATTATATTTACTTGTCATCGTTGAAGCTCTTTTGTGATCTAAGCTATAGGTAGAATTCCAACTGTGTGTCGCATCAGTATCCGAGAAAAGATAATTTATATTTTTTGATAGTGGACTAAAATGCAAAAGCGTTTGAAAAAACCTACAGCTTCAGTTGACTCTATACTTATCAACAAGTAGCTCGGTCCATTGAAGGCAAGGAACAACTCTTCTGGACTGTCGAGCTCCGCTATTAAACACACCTAGAGTTCTTTAGAAGGAATAGAGTACTAAATAGGAGGAATGAAGTGAGACAAAAGTGCAAGAACTGCCCGCCTAATGTCCAGAGAGAAATTGAACATACGCGAATTGAAGGAGAGTGCAGAAACAAATAGCAAATGTTGATAGAATATTGGCATAAGACGTGCAAAATAACTAATTCATACGAGGAACGACATCCATGCCTAGGGGGTTGTTATTGATATCAACATGACACGATTGTGTTTGGCCATCAAATTACAAAGGGCAAAGAAGAACGTACAATAATATAGAAAAACAAGAGACAAACTCCTTTGGTTTTGAGCAAGTCTAGTCTGGAAGCAACACTAAACATATCAAAAGGGCTTTTGCTTAATAAAGAAATCTGGTCGCTGATTTACGCTTTTTGCATATGAAATCCGAATCAAAAACATGTTTGAAGAATGTCTTCGAGGATTTTTATCTAATTATATTACCTTGGAATACTTTTGCACTGAATACACACAAGTTACACAGGAGAAAGAATTAAATTTTCGATGTATCATCTTTTGATTTCCTCTCTTAACCGGAATAAGTACTAATTTGTTTCATTTTAACTCGTGACTTCAAATTCATATAAAGTTTGAGAGAAACCTGAAATTCTAATTCTGACAACGGGTGTTGTTCTAAGCATACAATAGGATGTCATTTATTCTAGTACCCATGAATATAATCGTTGATCAAATTATTTCAAGTTGTAAGTTCAAATGCTTGCATTTGATATTCCAGAAAAGGATTCATCTCTATTTGCCGCATAGCTTCTCTCAACGTTGAAGTAGTTATTGTATGAGTAGTGGTTTCCATGATGCCACACTTTCTTTCCATGACTTCTGCAATTTCTTCTGACATGCATTATTCTGCATGTGATTTATCGTTGTGATTGTTCTACAGCTCTGACTTGATGTCAGCCGTGTACACAGTTCAGATGCATAGATCATACTCATAAATATGCAAGATTAGGTACGCTTAACAAGATTGGAGATGAAGGACATTTGCACATACGGATTCTTTAAATACTATATTCTAGTTGTGAACTTCTTAGCGCCGAAAGTGGCAGAGAAAAGGTCGCCTTGCAGTATGTGACTTTCGAAGGCCTCTGTATTATGAACATCGACCCTTCGACTTCAAATGCCCCTCTGCCCTTGAACTTAATTCCCGACAGTTTAACAAGCTGATTGCGAAGTGGCTGACTAGCTTCTTGATATTGATTTTCCTCGTGGCCAGCTTTTCCTTGGACAATCCCATTGTTTACATTACTTTCATTGTTTTTAAAACTCACGGAACCTGGGTTTATCTTCGATTTTTCCAAAGGAGGTAGGAGTTTTAATTTTATAGGCGATGCCAGCGACAGGTTCACATTTGCTACCTTCTTCCCAGAGATTGTCTCGCCAGTTGTGAAACCCATAGCCATCGTGTGCGGGACAAGAAAGCTCAAAATATAGACGGTCAGGATTCTGCCTACGTCTTGGAAGGGAAGCCTCTTCCGGGTTCTTATCCAGACGAGGCTACCCATAGAATCTAAAGTGGGTATTGTGCTTTGGAGAGAGACTAAATCAGAACTGGTAGGAGCAAATGATGGGATCTCATTTTAACGTCACGCACTACTCGTCATTGGAAGAAAAATTTGGGACTCCACAGCAAGTCATGCAGTAAACATTGGTACATCAAGTGTCGAAAGTATTGTTCGGTGGTGGCAAATTTTGGAGTAAAGCCAGTACATACAAATGAATGAAAACAAAGAATTCACTCAAATAACGATACAATTTATAGTTTCAAGAGTTAGTTTTAGCGATATTACGGTCTTTAAATCTAAAGTTGTTATAATTCTTGTGTATATATGAAAAAATAATTAAATTATTTATTATTTATTAATTTATGTGAATTATATATTTTTTGGCAAAAAATCAATATGACTTCAAAAAATATAGCAACCAGTTGAAGTCTGTTTTAAATGAAAGATTTAGTTTATTAAATTTAAATTATATCAAAAATTAATCTTCATAGCAATATGATGAAAAAGATAATGTATTGAACAATAAAGATAAAAAAACATTATTTGGTTGAATATACTTGTCATTGAGATACAATTATAATAATAAATCTCCATTATGATAGCCAACGTGTATCATGTTTTGCTGCAAATCAAATTATCATTTTATCAAATATGCAATTATTGATAAAAATATTAAGCTAATCAAAATTATCAATAATTGAAATCCATTTGATAAGTTAATTAAATTTTTTCATTTGAAAAGTTGCAAAATGTATTTTGCTAGTATGAAAGTTTCACATAAGAAACACAAATAGAATTTCCTGTTAATTTAAATCATATATATATATATATATTATTTACTCTATCATTTTTTAGCTACAAGCATTTAAAAATTACTTTGAGTAGTTTACGCAAAATAATTATATAGGTTATGGAAGATATTAGCGAAAATTTAACATAAGAAGTGAGAGATTGTTAGGTTCTAACTCACTCTAGAATCCACAGTGAGTTAGAAAGTGAGTCTAATTCACTTTCAATCTACAGTGTAGACTGAAAGATTAGGATTCCGTTTGTTGACTGATTAGAATTTGATTTGTCGGCTATTGACCATGACTACCTAGGGAACAAGAGCTTACTCGTCTCCCTTTTTCCCAACATGACAGCATTGTTGCTTCCGTGATATTTCCACCATACATCTGATTCGGATTCCTATAGATTTTTCTATTCTGACGATTTACTCGTATCAATGTCCCCTATCATTTTATCGAAACAAATAATTTCGGATTCCTATAGATTTTCTATTATGATGATTTACTTGTATCAATGTCCCTTATCATTTTATCGAAACAAATAATTTCGGATTCCTATAGATTTTCTATTATGATGATTTACTTGTATCAATGTCCCTTAT